ACCTTATACAACACACAGTTAATTCAGTTCGCGCGTATTCCTGCTGAATTTTTTGTCCGTTTTATAAGATATCAATATCGCATGAAAGTAATGACATTTTCCATAGGCGCTTAGTATCTACTTTTAATATCTCCGTACAGTATCAGAGTACAATGTTTTTCTAGTTGTACCTAGCATGCATTTTAGATAGATAGATAGATAGATAGATAGATAGATAGATAGATAGGCAGATTGATTGATTGATTGATTCACTTTTATTTGAATACGGTTAATTCATAACTTACATAACTTTTTTACATGAAAGCCGTATAGAAACAGAAGTAAATACTGTACAACTACACTAAAAATATGTGCAAATAATAAAATACAGTAAAATGTAGTAAACAGTTTGCCTGCCTACTAGCCAGTTTTCTTTTAAAGATAGCTTTAGATTCGGACGCTTTTATGTCATTTGGTAATGAATTCCACAGCATTCCTCCTCTGTATGAGAAAGACCCCTTATAATATTCTGATTTTGGAACGTGGTGCAGTACAACATTATATTCCGTATTTCTTAGCATAGACTTATAAGGGTTGTTCTCACAGACATTCGAGAAAGAATCGCTTAAGTAACTAGGTACATTTCCATTCACTGTATCATACATTAATAGACTTAAGTGCCTTTGACGCCTTCTGGCAAGTTCTTCCCAGTTTAGTTGTTTTCGTATTTGTGCTGAACGAACGTCATAACCTTGAAAGGTTATTATGCGTGCAGCACGATTTTGTAATTTCTGGATCCTAGTGGCAAGTCCCTGGTCTAAATTGTCCCAAACAACGTCGCAGTAGTCGAACACAGGCTGGATAAGAGATTTGTAAATAGTATTTAGAACATCTAATGGTACATAATCACGTACCTGTTTTAGACCACTGATGGATCGATTGACTTTTGGACAAAGTTTGTCAACATGCTCGTTCCATTTAAGATTTTTATCTAAGTGAATTCCTAAATATTTTGTTGTTTGGACTCGTTTAACATGATTGCTGCCAATCTTAATTAGAAAGCCTCTTCCTAAGTTAGATAATTTGAAGGTAGTTGTTAAGAACATATACTCCGTTTTAGTGACATTTAAGCTTAACTTATTTGCAAGAAGCCAGTCCCTAACGCGAGTTAGGTCATTATTTACCTTGGCATATAGTTCAGCAGTGGATACAGAGGACGCATATATCGTGGTATCATCGGCATACATGTGTGCTTTGGTATGGAGAAGACATCCAGGCAGATCATTGATATATATTAAAAACAACAAAGGGCCTAAAATTGAACCCTGTGGAACTCCACAACTTATCAACTGGGGCTTAGATACACCGCCCTCTACTACACACTGCCGTTGCCTATCTGATAGGTACGATGAAAACCAGTCGAGCGTTACACCTTCAAACCATAGAGCTCAAGCTTTTTTAATAAAATATTATGTGAAACGGTATCAAAGGCTTTGGCAAGATCGAGAAGCACAATCAAATTGGTCATGCCTTTGTCAATGTTAAGATACCAATTATTTGTTAAATGTAACAGCGCTGTCACTGTAGAGTGAAGGGAACGAAATCCAGACTGGTTTTTTGTTAACAGGCCATTTGAATTTAAGTACCCGTATAGTTGATCGTAGACTACCCTTTCACAGATCTTAGAAATGGCTGGCAAGACAGATATTGGTCTATAGTTTTGCGCATCTGTGCGATCATCCTTTTTATACAAAGCAAATACTTTAGCCTTTTTCCACTGTGAAGGAAAGAGGCCAGTATCTACGATTTTGTTTATGATATAGGTTAAAGAAGTGGCAATAATTGGGCCAGCTTCTTTTAGAAGCCGACATGAGATGTTATCAAGGCCAGTGGCCTTGTTCGGAGAAAATTTACCTACTAACTTTAAAACTTCAGTGGTAGAGGTATGTTGTAAATTAAAAAAAGTCGAAACAGGCTTTATGTAAGAGTCAAAACTTGTATTTCTACTAGGCAGTGTTGAGGCTAGGTTTGGACCGACAGATGTAAAATGGTCATTTAAAATCTCACACATTTCTGGGGGTTTTGTGAAGGAATTATCACCACTTTTTAGTTCACTTATTGAAGAGTTACAAGTGTACTTACGATATATGTTAACTCATTGATTGTCCTCCATATTTCCTTCGGTTACCCACATTTTGCTCCACTTCTGATTTATAATAATTCGCTTTTGCCATTTTAATCTCATTATTTATTCTATTTCTTTCTTTTCTATATCTATCCCAGATAGATGGCTGTTTTGTTAATATAGCTTGCCTTTTCAGTCTGTTTCGACCTGTTATCAGCTCTCTCAGCTCAGTAGTAATCCAAGGGGTTTTTTTATTTCTTACTCGCCGCGTTCGTATGGGCGCATGAGCGTCAGCTATTTTTAAAAACATATTTTCCCAGATTTCAACCATTTCATCGGGAGTACCGGTAGTACAGTTTCTTAGTCTATCCCAGGACGCTGACTTTAGGACTCCTCTGAAAGCACTTGCATTAAAGTTTTTAAAAGAACGAGTGGTCACATGCTTATGAGTGTTTTTAGATGAAATGGCAAACTTACGTACTCCCATATGCACGACTCCTGATTTTAAAATCCTTGAGGGTTCATTTGATAATATTATATCAATAAGTGTACTAGAATTTGGCGTGATTCTAGTAGGTTCATTGATTAGTTGTTGAAACTGATCGATAGGTCGAACTTAATTGCTTCAACTGAGACAGGTGCATGTTATTTCTATCCGATAGATAATTGCAATTTAAATCGCCTAAGATAATTTGTTCCTTAGATTCCATGTCAATAATGCGAACAATAGCTTCTAAAGCTTCAAAGAACCCAACCGTACAGCTAGGGGGCCTGTAGGCCGCAGTTACGTTAAAAGCTTTACTATTAGGCTTTTAAATATCAACACTTAACATTTCAAACTCGTTATTGGGAATTATTTCATTTCTAAGGCAATAATTAATATTCGATCGAAGATAAATGCACACGCCGCCGCCATTACGGTTTCGATCCTTTCTTAGGATTGAATAGCCGTCAATATGAACCAAGTTGTCAGTTATTGTAGAATCGAGTCTAGTCTCGTTAACAGCTAGCAGATCAAGACACTGATCAGCCATAATTAGTCGAAGCTCTTCAATATGCAGCGGGAGACTTGCAACATTAATACTCGCAATCTTGAAGCCCCTTACTTTCAAGGCAGAGGTCATATCATCATAACAATTTGGTTCACATTCAGGCAAAAAACTGTTGACTTCTTTAAATCAATAACAATTACTAATATGATTCAAAATAAACAGACAGACAGATAGACAGATAGATAGATAGATAGATAGATAGATAGACAGACAGACAGACAGACAGACAGACAGACAGATAGATAGATAGATAGATACATAGGTAGGTAGGTAGGTAGGTGGGTAGGTAAGAACCTTAGTTTATGGCACGATAAAAAGATCAGCATTGCTGGTGGAGTCGTGCATACAACAATTACAAGAAAAATAAGGAGTACTGAAAGCAAATGTACACTTAAAAATTAAAAACTTGAGTCACCAGTATAAAGCGTTTCATTTTCCCGGAAAATTTCACTTTCTCATCAAAACAATCACTGACTCAGACAGACTCGGATTAGTTTACTTGAATTAAGCGTTCAGTACAGCGAATGGGGTTATGTACTGTGAAATCTATCTACCTACCTACCTACCTACCTACCCACCCACCCCACCCTTACCATTTTTGTAAAATCTGGAATAGTGATCAGCTGCCCGAACAAGTCTATCAGCCACCTGGCACTCAAGATGAGTGTTCTACGCTGCTTGATAATTATTCTCATGTCATGATAGAAATTCACCATGGTGGTACACTCTTCCTCATCATCGACGAAGCAATTCTCCTTAACATGGGTCCGTAGCTTCGTTATACTCAGGTAATAAACTGACTTGGAAAGTAAAGCGTTGATAACATTCTCAAAGTTCAGCCACCTAGTTTATTAAACCAGAGAAAAAATTGATAGCTCACGTTAAGTATCCATGTGGCGACACAGTATACCTGTACTGACTAAAGTACAGAGCCTAGTAGTGCGAAACGTGGATAACTCTTTCCAGTGGATAAATATCTCTACAAAATCCAGTGGATAGTGCCATTAAGGTTCCTGATATTTTTCCTCTTAAAAGTGATTCATTGTTTGAACAACCGGGGCTAGAAGCATGTATACGTTACAAAACATGACTGCTGGTATGTGAAAAGCCGAGTAGATTTTTTATTAGTTAGTATTTACGGTCTTTCTAAAGTTAAAATGAAATAAATATAAGCTTAAATATGCTGAACTAAAGCAGGCTATTTTCGAATTTGTGACCCTGTGCAGTTATGCAGTTTACTACAGATTTAACGGGTGTGTGATTCACTTCACTTTACCTTTTTAAAACAATGAAATGTACAAAGTTCTTTTCGGCCAATTCGAAATAACATTATCAAACCCTTCAGGGCAGAATATTCCTTAAGGCCAGTCAAAACTGCTTTTTATGGTTAACCTGTTTCAATTAACGAGATATTCATTTCGTATGACCGCCAGGTGGCTCATATAGGAATCAATGAACTTTTTGCGTTCTCAATGTATTTTTTTTTAATCAAAGTAAAGGACTACAATAAAACAGCCTTTAGATGTTTTGCTTTTACGCTTTTACATAGCGTCACAGGCAACTGATGACACCTGAAACATATTACATACAAAAAAAATCCTACAAGGTTCGCGGAAGCAAACGCCATCCACATTAACAATAATTTCAGTGTGTTCACGGCTCAACCCTTGACATATAAATTGTTCAATATTTACTTTAATGGATTCTGAACATTCTGGTACAACCATTGTTTACCTTACAGGTATCCTCTCCCCAATGTAAGGCTCCTGTCTTAGCACTTCAATGATTTTGACTTGTAAAGCTTGGATGTCATCAATATTTTCATCTTTCGCAGTGAAAACATTTCTGATCTTACTCTGGAGTAATTTCGCAGTGTTGTCAATGCTAAAGATAGGCGGCACCACATGCCCTTCATAGTTGTACCCAGCAATTGCTTTCTGGATTTCTAATTTCATTGTTGCAATGTCTTCAAATGGTTTGTCTGCATGGGTTCCTACAATGATCACAGGGGGGCGCAAATGAGGCAACTCTTCTTCTATATCATCACAGGTTTCTCTTCTCATCTGCGCGACGCTGTGCACTGTGGACAGCCAAGACAACAAATTCTCGAGATTTGTTTCTCGATTGGGGTTTTCCAAATCAACATTACAAGATCCTTGCCTCACACAGGGCTTGGCTGTGTCATGCAGTGACTTGCTGAGGTTGCACACCAGGATGTACAGCGCACGTGATGTTAGATATGTGATTCGTGACATGAAGGCAGATAGGGTCCTTATTCGTGACTGGGACCTCTATCCCCTTTAACAACCTGACTTAGGGTGGATTCATTTGCAACATACGCGTATAGCTGTCGCATTTGCCTGCCTGACTTTTTTATCGTTTGTAACTGAGCCTAAAAACAATAAAAAATGAGCCAACTATACACGTATGTTGCAAACGAATCCACTCTTATTCAATGGCTGATTGAGGAAATAACTGGACTTGTTTAGGCACATATTGAATGTATAAGTTAAATTAAAAAGGGGATCTTTATTTACAAAAACTGTCAAACTTAATAAACTTACAATGAAACATTTTTTTTTCTTTGCTTTTCATTATTATCTTTCCCGAAGGGGAATTTTAAAGACAATATGATTATCTACTAAGTACAGAAGAAAAAAAAATATAAAGTTAACTAGCTAATACTAACTATTGCAATAATAATGTTAACAATAAAAAGAGAGAAATCTACCACGGAATACTACATTATTTATAGTGGAGATTACATGTTCAAAGTTGAAAAAATATGGTCTCTCATATAGTTCCTGCAATAACTTAGATCTAATTGACTGTTTAAAAGGTTTTGCATTCTTACAAAGTTTAAGAGACGCGTCAAGGGAATCCCTTAAACTTAAAGTTCTGTAATAAAAAGTTCTTTGTCCACTTGCTGTTTTAAAAACAGGTATGTTCAGTTTTTGTGAATTACGAGCTCTACGATTACTGACTTCTGTACGTTTAATAAATAGTGAGAAAAGATATTTGGGGGCACAGCCCGACATGCATTTAAACGCCATACGCTACGATAGAAAAGCTCGCTTGAGACAGGTAACCATCTCAGTTCTTTTTTTTAAGAAAGGGCGTGAGATGATCGTATTTGCGGGTTCCACTTGTAATACGGCAGGCAAAATTTTGCACAGCTTGCAGCCTTATAAAGTTTCAAACCAACTACACGTTGCTAATTTGCTTCCTAACGGATGCAAAAAACACTTTATACAACTTAATTATAAAAAAGACTTAATTTACGAGAAGAACACTAAAACAAGTTTTAGCAAAATTCACTAAGAAATTGCAGCAACGTATAACGAATTCGCCAACTCCCCTGACTTGCTGCTAGAATGAGATCATGATGTCATAAAGCAGGCATTGTTAGCAGTGTTTTAAACTAAGTCTAATAATTAATTCAAAATGTATAAGTTTCAATTTATAAGTATTTAAACTATAGTTGATTCTAAAAAGACTCTCAGTAACTAGGTAGATTGAGGCGGGAAACGTTTTAAAATCTAACTACTTTTGCCATAAATTATATTACTTGATGCACCAAAATATAAGCAGTGGTCTTTGTAAAATATTTACACATGGTTACATAGCATGATAAGAAAAATACCCTGGTAAGTTAATTGTATTATAAAACGTACTTACAAAGTATGATAAGGAATTGGTGTTCCCCCGCGAAGGGAGGTGTGAGTGGCTTCTGTATTCACACACTAGATAAGGATTACTGGCATGGACAGAAATGATCCTTAACCAATCATTACAACTCTATGAAACAGCTATTCTAATTGCCAAAGATATCGCGATCCACAAATTGATAACGAGCACCTTAAACAGGGAAATGTGTTTTGACTCATGAAGTTCTATGGTAAGGAACACTTTAAGATACGATTGATCCTTTACGAACAAATTATACTCAGGACTAAATCCGACACTGAATATATTCTCAGAGACTGCCTGCGAGAAACAGCTGGAGCAGAACTGTTCTTAACACCTTAATGCTAGGGAAAATGCCAGAGAAAAAAAATTCTGACCTGTATACTTACAGACGGTAAGACCCAGTGTTCATACACGCCGCAAACAGTAATAATCCGCGACATTACTCGCAGACAGAGAAACTGGTAACTAGTAATAGTTGACACTACAGCTGCCCCCGCTCTGTATATAGTATTCTTGCTCCTTGTGCAGCTCTTTGAAATATACCGATTCATAACGAAGATGTTCACACATATTCCATACAACAGGTGAGATAAATACAGGAAATAAACGCAAGGTTCCATGCACAGTTTCGGTTCGATTTACACAGCTTTGATCAAAACATATTCATTCTCAGTTTCAAGAATAGTTCATTCTAAACCATAAGAAAAGATTTCATTAGAAGTTTAATGTTTCGCTATTTCTATTTCACTTTTTACATTTAGTTCATTTCATTTGCCCGAAAGTAAGCCTTAGAAATTAAAAGGACGTTTGATCAATTCACGCTCGCGCATTCTAGTCTTATTTTAAACTTTACAGGGTGTCCCAAAAGTTCGTTCCTCTAATTTCATACACAATAACTTTTGATCAAAACTTTATTTTTACATGAAATTTCTAGAAGATGATTATTTCTCTATCGGCTATTTCTATTCAGAATTTCAGTCACTGGCAGCCCTTTTTGTTTTTTATCACATTGTGTAGTTGTTGCGGCATGGAGTGGGATACAGCGTGTAGACCAACCGATGATCCATTTTGAACTTTTTTATCACCCGGTGCGCAGGAGCCAGTTCAACCCCCAAACAATATTCAATATTTGTTAGTTTAGGCAACTGAAAGAAATATATTTTGGGCATTCACCCAAAAAAGATAATCATCCCGGCCCCTTTCCACAGCAAGGCTTTTGAACTTCTTTACAAATTTGAGACGAACTGGGCGTTACTTGGCAGACTAAGCAGATCGATTTTTTTTGCCATCTCAGGGGCTAATTTTAAACATTCACTTTTCAAGATCCTTTCTGGACTTGGCTTGCTAAATTAATTATGTGAGAGCTTCCTCGTCGAGTCTACTATTTTGTATCTCTCAAAACTATTTTAGCTGCTTTATTCAGGACTTTTGGTCTTCCCGTTCGTTTCTTGCCTTCAAAATCTTCATTTCTCCATGATCATTTTACCACCAACATTCGGATTTTTCCAGATTTTTAGCAGTTTCTACGACAGGTAAGCCAGTAAATAGAAGTATATATGCATGCTTATGCTCACACGTAGCTGAACGTTTTTTGCGTTAAGGGGGTTTATCTTTCGTGATATTCACAAAAAAAGTAAGGAAGGAGTTCCAGCAATTCGGGCCATAGTAAAATACAAAACTATGTGGCTGGAAAATACACTCGCGCACGCGCACCTTTGGCGCGGAAGTACACAAATCGAATATTCGAGTCAGAAGATACACCACAAGTATGAAAATAGTGAATTAGATTGAAAGACACAACTTTTGATTAAACAAGACGCCTAAAGTCGTTTCCGTGGGATGCGTTGGTCTATGGAAGCATAATGGCGTTCTCTCAGAATTTGGAAAAATTAGGGAAACCGGAAAGATGTGTCATGTTATGAGCATCGATGAGTAGGTTACCTGTATGGGTTGGTTTAATGTGCTTATGACTGAATTTATAGTAGCGTGCGTGGCAGGCTACTGTTTCTCCTCAATCCACATCCCCTTTTTGCTTCCTTCCTATCCCTACCCCTTTCGACACCCGCTACGCAAGCTAAATTTATAGTTGTCAGTGGTCGCAACGATGGAGTTGATCTTATTTTGATCCATCGCTATGTAGTTATTTTCGTAGCACGATTTGGATAAGAAAAAGAAGTTATTTTGCATCAAAACAAGGTTTACCCGTGTAACTTAAATTGGAATGTTAACGGAACAAGTAATGGAGAACATGCGCATAATACTCTCTGATTAACCTGAACAGGAACTATATGTATAAAGATACGTCATATCTTGGTAGTAAGTTGCCACAGTTAACTTTTTCAAAGAGAAAATAAACATTGTAGTTTTAGGTTAGTGGGACTAAACAAAACAAAACATCCGCTTGCTTTATCCAGGGTCGAACTGAGGGTTACAAAGTTCGATAAAGTTCCAATGTTTTAATCCAAGATGAAAGTTTAATATTCCAAGATGCTTTTAATACGGTTAAAACGTAATTGCAATGTGTTTCCAAGGTCTCAAAGTTAACATAGTTCCAATGATTAACCCTGATTCCAAGGTATAATAAGTTTACTAAGGTCCTGATCCATGTCCCATCCAGAAGTCCAATCCATGCCGAAAGCGAGTCGTCGATCGACGAGGACAATATTTTCGCAATTTCACCGCCAATCGTCAAGGGTACGTGTTGAAATTTAGGCGATTTAACCTCCTATCGTCAACGTGTTTCAACTTCAACTTTATTCATTCACTTTCAATTTACAGTTACACGATGGCTTCCACCCGCGTATAGGAGAGCCTAATCGAGGCGGGGGAAGAGACACATAAATTTAAAGAAAGAAAAGAAAAAAAGAACTATTTTACAAACAGTACCAGCTGTCACAAAATAAAAACTATAGTATGTATTAAGCTAATTTAATTGCATTATGATTTACACAGAGAATATAAATTTAGTTGTGTTCCTGAGCTAGTAAAATTTAAGTTGATGCATGACTTCAGTGATTTCAAGATAGTCGTCAGATTTAGACAAAATTTCAAAGAGCTTATTCCTTATCTTTTTCCGAAAGGTAGATTTTGGTAAGTTTCTCATATCTGAGGGTAAAGAATTCCAAATTTTTGGTCCAACTCTTAGAAAAGAACTACGCAGTTTTTCAAGCCTTGAGTGTTCGGTATAGAAATCATCATTGCGAGAAGATCGGGTAGGATATGAGTGCATCTCAGAAATCCTAGTAAAGGCTCTCTTGATATTTTCAGGTGCAGAATTGTTGGCAACGTCCCACATGATACTACAAAGACAATCAAAGTAAATAAAGGATAGGGGAAAGACTTTTGATTTTAAGAAAAATTAACAATACCTCTGATGCCATAAAAATCAAGTTTTTGAAGAAGAATATAGTGATCAACAGTATCAAAGGCTTTTTTCAGATCTATAAAGAGTCCACAGGTGAATTTACCACTATTCATATTACTCTGAATTGTATTAACAATATCCAGAATTGCATGTTGAGTATTATGACCACTCCTAAAGCCATATTGGGAGTTAATCAATATATTGTGCTTAATGATAAATTTACTGAGTCTTTGATACATTAGTTTTTCAAATACTCTATTGAATATAGACAAAAGAGAAATAGGCCTGTAATTACTTGCGCAGGACTCATCATCATCTTTATAAACTGGCACAATCTTGGCAAGTTTTAGTTTGCTGGGATGTTTACCTTGGATGACAGATAAATTGTAAATGTTAGCAAGTGGCTGACTAATAATGTGTTTGCAGCCTTTTAGGATTTTAACAGGACAAGAGAACATGCCATAAGACTTGTAGAGGGGCAAGGCCTGAATTTGGGAACTGACATCATTGGGAGTAATGGGTTTTCGATAAGAAAAGAAAAAAAACTGAACTCTAGCTGTGCTCGGCAAAAACTGGCGAACTCCGAATAGAAAAATCTATCGGAAATCGCGGCCCGCAACCAGACGCTACTAAAACCTTATGAAAAATCTAGACCTAAACAAAAAAGAATCATGAAGGGAAGAAACAATTTGGCTTAGGTCGCCTTTCGTGACTTGCCAGTATCCCGAAGGATTTCGCTGGGACACCCTGTATAGCGGAAGGGCATCTGTGAGCAGGGAATAAGTCAGCACAGAATTTGATGGTCGGCAAATTTCTGTAATCGTCCATCGTTCTGCTAGTGATAAGCTATTGTAGCCGCTGAGTCATTCACTCGTCTTGCTTGTTTTGGGCCGAGTCTTATTCCGGTCAGAGAGAGAAAGATTGTCTGACAAGGTTCAGCTGAAGGTTTCCAATCAAAGATTTGTGAACTCGTGTCTGACAAACTCACTTAGTATTAAAATATACACTGTCCTACGCACCTTATAACTTCATCTGCGCGTAACGAGTGTCTTTTGGTCCATAACTTTCATAACAACTGCTCCACAGAATGTCACTGATAACACGTAACGCAAAAGAGTATCGAAGTGTGACTGCACAATTAATCTCACAAAATCTACCTATTGTCAGCTTTTCCTTCGGGATTTTTTTGTGTTTTACGTCATCCTAACCATTTCGTACTTGCGGGCAAAAACAATAGAAACGTCATCATTACCTACCGATTCCTCGCGGCCCCTGTTCAAGCAAATCGAGATTTTTTCTATATTGACTGTATGACTGTATATTTCATCTGTAAGTACTTTCCTTAATATGCGCGCGAGTTACTAGTGTGCCTCCTCGGGATTTCGCCGTCTAGGCGAAATCACTGCGGGGGCAATAATTAGTACACACATTTTGCTAGGACTACAATAAAGTCTAATGACGGAGTATTTACAGGGGACTGTAGACAAGGTGGTTCCTAACAACCACATTCTGTTAAGAATACTACAGTAATCAGTTTGTCGTCGTACTTAAGACCACTGTGTAAGGCTTTTTCTGAGACAAAAAAAGGTTGTATTAAAAGGCTAATTGTGCCGTCACAGTAACATTGACGGATTAAAAAGCTGTACATGAAGAAAAATAGACGTCTTGTTTCTTGCCAAAAGCTTAGCGAATAATATAAGGAGCTACCAGGAGCCATAATCGGGGTAGGAGACCGCAAGCTGGTGGTCCACGCGGTTCCATCGAAAAAGCCAAATTTACTATTTTTAGAATAAACTGCGCCACCTTTAACGTCAAAAACTCGCCGGGAACACGCAAATTTGCGCGACTCTCTTGTGGAATTTCAGAAGATGGGCAATCGTTTTGCGACTTTCTTCGAGCTCTCTCTGAAATTTCCAAGTGCTTCATATCTCGATAGGCAATGCATGCACAGTGAAAGAATGAGCCAATATTATGTAAGCATCACTAGAAATACGTTTACTGCAAAAACCTCGAGAGGCTGTAATGGACCAGCAGTAAGAATAACGGAAAACAAGCCAAGGGGAAAATGTAATTAAAAACAAAAACAAAAACAAACTGAAAAAATTATACAACAAAGATAAAATAGCTTAGCCGAGAGTCGACCATCTTCACGGAAGGTCGGCTCCTAGACCACTGCGCCACGCTGCCAAGAAGAACGTTAAGTGGGATAATTATTATATTTAAAGTACTATTTCCGTGATATTCTGCTGGTAGACGCTTTTTGAAGCTGGTAGAGCTGTATTTATCATGAATTCAAAGATATTTTTGAGGAATATAATATTAACCATAATTATCCGCTGTTTTTGTTAACTTTCCGCCTCAAATTCAGAGGAGGCAATTACGACAGAAATGGAATATATTCATCTCATACGGAGGTAATTTCCGACGTTGTTTATCCTTAACGCGGCGCCCTCGCAAAAAATGCGCGCGCGTGTCGCACGAGATGGCACAATTTGTGCCAAAAATAGCACATTTGGCTATTTCGATGGAACCAACCCCATTGCTGGGAAAGGTAACCAGTTACGGTCTCTCTTATTCCGATTTTTGCTTGTGAAGCCACATTAAGGTGCATTTTGTCTCACTCAAGTGAGTTGAATTGGATATCATGAGTATTGAAGTGTAATCAGACATAAGGAATAAGGCTAACATAGTGAAGCTCGTGCACGTGACCCAGCACAAGCCGGCTCCTACCAAAAACATCATACTCTGGGCAGATCATTACGTCATGGCGATGCGGCAGACTGCTGATCACGTGGATGCACGTTTGAAAACAGTTTGCCGCGCCGTGTAGAATCACATGATCACCCCACGTACCATCTGCCATCATGCTAGTGAGGTAGGCATCCCAAGATGGATATCCATCAACAAAATGAAACAGTTCTGTCCCATCCGGCTGTAAGAAAAAAAGAAAATACTGTAGTTAATAGAGAAAGAGGTAGTTACAGTGCTTTTGTAGAAGGTATATATTCAGGCAGCTACGCTGTCAGCTCTCTCTAAGAAGGATCGTGCTGGAATCGGCCCCAGAGGAGACACAGATAAATAGATAGGTGCTTGTCCCTTTTACCCAGTTGCAGTATTGACTGAATTGCTGGGTAGGCCAGCAATAAGTATACACAATTACACAAAATGTTGATATTTGACAGTAGGAAAATTATTTAGTCTATTAGTCCGACCAAGTACAGGTCTCGGATTGCGCGAACGAGGAAATTATTTACACTCATGGTACGTGGGGGAGGGGATAACTTTCATGAGGGGCGGATGTTGCCGCACATTTATGATGAACCTTTGACAGGCAGGAACTCGCCTGCCTTTAAGAGTGTCTGGGCTCTGTCTTGCCAAAAATTATCTTCAGGGCTCTCCTTTGAATGGATTCTAAGAGATCTTCTAGACATGATGGTAGCGCTGCCCAAAACGGGGGGAAGCATACTCGATGAATGATCTCACTAGGCAATAAACTGAAACTAAATCGTCACAGTTCAATCCTCATTTGTCCACTTTACTAGCGAACCGGAACCATGACAATAGATTGTCTGCAATTGACAATGAAATAAACTATGATAGCATTCTCACCAAATATGAACATGATCCCAACAAGTTTCATCACCGATGTAACAAAAACTGGTTTTACCAGACACGACATAAAAATAGCTCGTATAACTCATGACGTTATCTTGATGATATTCTACCGCATTTTATTCACTAGATAAAGATGTCATCGACATTTACTTGCTCCACTTCATACTAATGGGATTTCACTTCAAAAACAAGGTCTAACCTGTGCATCCTATACTACTCCCTTATAAAAAGTCTAAGGAAAACTATTAAGAACGGCAAGGACTAACACTTTTAGGAAAGTACTTTCGGAGGTTTAAGGGAGGTGTCCGTTACACGTGTAAGAGAGACGGAAGGAGGTGTTTACTATGAAATAATATGAGTTTGGAAATTTCGACTTGTAAACCAGTACTTTAGGTCAGAAATGACCCTACATATACAACCAGTTTTGAGAACCTCTAATTTATCAGTTCATATTCTAACATACTTCATATTATAAGGCTTCACTCCACTTCACTATGTAACCGTATGCTGTTCGAACAAAGTGGCTTTTGGTCAATATAACGTACTTATAAAAAATTAGGTTCTAAGTCAGACGATCGAGGCGACAGAAAACAGATGTCCTAAAATCCGTTTCCACTTACGCTTCCGAGTCAAAAAAGATATTAAAGGACATGATTTTGCGTTCTTTTAAACCTTTATGGCGCTTATGTAGTGTTTTTCAAATCAAAAAAGTAGAGGAAATTTCCTGGATTTTAATTCTAAGGGCAGCATCATGATCCAAAAACAATAATTCGTCGCCCTGCATTCGAGGTCCTTTACAAAACGTCGCATAAGAAAGTTTCACGCCGTAGTCGTATACTGGACAACAAAAGTACAAACAAGCGTGATGCTCGTGCAGAGCTGATATTTTGCTTATAAAGGGTGGATGCATTTGCAGCATACCCGTAAAGCCGTCACATTTCGTTGCAAGAATTTAAGGCCGCATCCACACGTATCAGGGTATTTTAAGCCTTCCACACAGGTCCCCAGAAAGCGGTCTCCAGAGTGGACTTTTGAAAACGCCAACTTCTCTTTTACGCGTGTACCGACGAAAAGGAGGTTTTCTAAGACGATGATGTTTTATACAATGATGTGAATGCTACACGCGCTGTGATTGGTCGTTGCCCATGATCTATTGGAGTACAGATACATGGATGACGTCAGGGGAAACTTGTTTTCTTTGTTTTGTTCAACATGGCGCGCGGTTTTGAAAATGTTTGTTAGATTATTTCGGATTAAAGCAAGTGAAAGCCTCGAAAAAAAAAAAACTTAGCAAGATCTATTTACAAAGAAGAAAATGGGATAAAAGAAAAGAAAAAGAGCTCTTTACAACTTAATCAGCGACACACTCGCCTGCGGCTCGTGTGCCACTTCTTTGTTTTTACCACATATTGACGTCATCTGTGATCTATCATTGAAAAGACGCACAGCAACATGGAATCCATTTGTTAAATACATTAAATACTAGTAGCACTGCGTTTGATTTGTGAGGGATGCTATCGTAATTCAATAATTTCACCGTTTTTATGTGGAAGGGCGGAAAAAAAATCAAATACGCTACGTGTGTACGCGTATTTTGGAGACGTCAGAACAAGGCCTTATTGCCTGTACGTTAAAAACAATTTTAAAAAAATTTTCAGCGGCAAGGGCGACGGCTTACGCATACAGGGCAAATGAATACACCCTAGAAAAAAAAAATGAGGTACTTACCAGCCTGGGGTTTTCCCGAAGGTGTTGAACAATACTTCGGCGTAACTCAGCATGGGACATTTGAATTCCTTTGATGAGGTGAAGCTGCTCTGAAAGGGCAAAAAACATGCAGTTCCCCTCTCCTTGATTGTCAGAAAAAGCAAAACGTTTTTCCAACGCAGTCCTCTTTAACGTCTGCGACAGCTCAGTTTTGTTGGACTCTATGCGTGCTTCCAGCCGGATTTGTTGAAGTGCAAGGAAAGTGGGTTCGCCTGTAAACGACAGAAGGAAATTATTAAAACAAGAATGAGGTTATTTCACGTCAGTTTATCACAACATGATGAACTGGTCTATAGGTAAAAACAGCCCACAATATAAAATTGCCGTGGTTTCAAAAGAACAAAATAACCCCACTCTACAACAAAAATAAACGTTGGCTTTGATTTATTTGAGAAAACAAACAACTACATCACCAGTTATCGATCCTTTTGCAGCACCGTTTTCAAAGTCATTCTGTGGAACGGCATCTTCTTGAGTCTTTTCAACACCTGTAAAATTTTAAAGAAACGTTGAATTACAGAAAACATTGTCCAACTTGAAAGACATAAACGATTCCAATCTGAGAAGCCCTCCATTAATTTTCTGTGATATATTATCAGCAAAAGTTTTAGCTGGACGGTTCTCTGTCATTCTCTTCCTTTAAAGGAGAGACCCAGCAGCAAAAGAAAAAAATCTCGATTGTTAAACAAATCTTCTTATCAGTAACGCAAGATATATATGGAGAAGGGTGTGAAAAATACAAATGCTGTCATTAAGGTTCAAAAGGTTAACGTTGGCATTTTTTCTGCAGCCACAAACATGCACCGCCTAATATAATATTATGAAAACCAGCTTACGCACTCGCTCTTGCTGAAGTAACTGAAATACAACGATGAATCATGACATTTTCACCGTGTTTCAAGTAAAAATTACTATTATCGTTACTCTTCTTTAGGCAAAGAGACTTTGTTACCGTAGACCATCTTCCACATTCTGGCGACAAGGGCCTGGCACTGTTTCTCCCAAGAGAATCTTTCACCATAACTTCTTCGCAGTCTTTGGATTTCCTCAAGCCGCTGTGTCCTTGATTTTTGACGGATGGCTGCAATTGCCTTTGCCCATTCCTTGGGGTCATCAGAGTCCATCACAAATGACTCACCCATTGGAAGACCACGCAGTGCTTTTCCAAATCCGGAGTTTCCACTAACTAGGATGGGAAGACCAGCTGACATGGCCTCCAATGCTGTCAAACCAAACCCCTCAGTTCTTGATGGCATGATGGCCAGATCGACTTCACAAAACAATTCTCTCAATCTTTGCTTGTCTTTCACAAATGATCTCACAATGAGCTGGTTCTTTGAAATGCCAGTCTGGAGTAAGATTTCCGCGACTTCATCCTGCCTTCCTTCGGGTGCACCAACGAAAACAAGACTACAGGAACTGTCCTTCAATTCAACTATGGATTGAGCGGCAATGTCGTATCCTTTAAGACCAAAGTCTTCGAAATCACCACGACCGAAGGCCAACACTTTGAAATTTACACTTTCTTGTGCAGCATGTTCAATGTCTGAAAAATCTGCGAAGGAACCTGGTATCAGTTGAAAGATATCTCGACGAGATGAACGCAACTTGGAAGAGAACGCTTCTTTCAACTTGGGTCCAACGGCTACAACGAGATCTGCAATTTGACAAAGTTCAACTTCAGCTCTGTTCTTCCCTTCACCCTTGGCAATGGCGCTTGGATAGTTCTTATGAATCGCCAGCTCTTCAGGCTCAGTGTGAACAACCTGCACCCACTTGCATCGATGAGACTTTCTGATAATTTGCGCTTGTCTGCCAAGCTTTGCTCCATGGCCGATCACAACCTGAATGTCAAGGTCATCTGGTGGAAAACTCAACCAGTCAAGAGGATCACTGAAGCCAGGAAGGCGCAATGCTTCCCGGATGAAAATGTTGCGACTTTTGGCAGCTCTCTTATCTTCTTCGCGACACTCAAATTCAGGTACAACAATTGTCACTTCTACGTTTGCGTCTTTTGCCAAATGTATGGCAAGAGTTCTGTTTATTGTTGACAAGCCACCCTTGGACGACCCCCACTCATTCGCGAGAAGGGTAACCTTCAGTACCAGACGTTCTGGACGAGCTTGTGCGGTACCAGGTGATGATGATGGAGTACACGCCTCCTGAATAGCAACCAAAATTGCACACTTTAGAAAATAAATTTTTACATCTGGGGGTTTCTACATTTTCTAATGAAAGTTTGCAAAACGTGTTATCAACACGTTAGATGCTATAAACTTATTAACCCAACAGTAAAGCAAAACAGCACATTAAAAAAGACTTGGGAAAAAGTTATATACCCACTGCTTAATGCCTACAGGCCAATAACAATTAGTAATACATGGTATCCAATTGACCTTATCAACTTACTTGATATTAAGAACCAATGTTCGTTAAGTTGACAGCCACAAAACCTTCTCTTACACTGCAGAGAAGCGTGTGGTAGGATAAATGAGGGCATACGTTGTACATCATACTATAACCTAAAAAAGCACATGCATAGACTTTGTTGAAGCCTTTTTATTTTAAATAGATGGCTACCTTTTAAGGACATAAGTTTTTATTAGTATTATGTGTATTGGCTTGCTATATGTAATATGCTAACAGCACTGCTAGAGATCGCATTTCACTGCTACCTACCTTACTTTCTATTTGTGAGAACCACTTTTGCTGTCCCGTAACTGTGAGTACCTCCTCTACAGGTTTCTTTTTGCAAATCAGAGGATCGCCTTGTCTTAACTCAAGGAGATGAATACAGTCTTCACGAGAACATGCAATCTGATTATGGCTTGAGCATTTTTCCCGCTGACAATACGGACAGGCGACCCGAATTTGATACTGCAATCCACCTTTATAGAGATCACGTGACAAAGCCTGCAAAGTTGCCTCCACAAACTCACGAACATGCACTGCCATCTCACTTGTGCCATCCACCGAGATCTGCTGAAGTTGGTTTCTTTGCTTGATGAAAAACTTAATAAATTGCTTCTTACAAATAAGAACAAAGTCATGGAAAGTTTGCTTCCCAACAACAAACCACGCTCCATTTTGGTACAGGGTAGGGGGCTGAGTTGGACCAGCCTCTGAACACCAATGGACAGATCGAGAAACAAGCCGAGTGAACAAACCATGGGGAACAGAACCGCTGACAAAGTAAACATACAGGGGACAAGGGTCCAGCCTTGTGGGCACCATGGAACAAAGGGAATTAGGTGACGCTTTGAGTTGAGATGGAACAAAATACCTTTCACCTGTCTTTGAAGATGAAAATTTTGCAATCAATCCAAATTGTCCCATCAAATCAAGAATGTCTTTCCTGGCAACACCCTTCAGGAGAAAGTTGGAAAATACAAGATCAACCAGTTCCATGGAGAGAACACCGCTTTCTTTAACTTCCTTCCAGTGCTTGGCAACCTTAGGAACCTAAGACGGAATAAGGTGAAGGACAATAACAAAACTGTCTTAAAAAAGTGATATTTTGGGAGAATTTTAAGCCAGTTAATTAATGCACTTGTAAACTGTGGGTTATTTTATTTAATATTTTAAGTAAGCAAACAAAGAAAAAGATCTAGAGTTTTCCGTTTTTGTGTGGGGACGCATATAAAGAAAAAGTTACGTAGTCTGCATAGCAAGGAATACTGAGTGAATAAAAGTAAAGAGGATAGCCTTCTCAGCAGCCCTCCGTTTGGTTCGTCACACAATTCTTTCCAATCGCGTTAGAAGATTTACGAAGTAAAGTTTTCTTTTCTTTACCACGTTCACTATAACCTCGCGCTGAGAGAAAACAATAGAAACGTGGTTGTGGTGGTGGAAGGAAACAATGTGAAACAATGAAATGTGGAAAAGGAAAAAGGGTTGTGGGAAAGTGGAAAAGTGTTTTTCGTGGTAGAAAGAGCTAGTTTGCTTTGCTCCAAATTAAATATTCACGATTTGCGCGCATTGTAAACCGGAACAACTTGGAACAACTTGTTGAACAATGAAAGCGGTATGAAGTGTAACTTGCATAACTACGTCACAGGCGAGTTAGCGCTTATTCCTTCGAAAACCTGAATCAACCAATGAATACTTTTCCTAGTTCTTACATGTAGTCGTCAACCAATAAAAAAGCAAGACCTTCATCTACCAAGAAATAACTGGAAAACCTGTCCAGAGGGTTAAAAATAGCACACGACCTTATCTTAGGGCCTGTGTACATGGAGGTGGGGGACCCCAGGTAGGTGAGGCAACCCGCCTGTTAACCTGAGATCAGGCGTTATTTATTTATTTATTTTTTTTGCTTCTTTGGCCCGAGAAGGAAAAAAAAATAACGCCTGATATATTTATTTAACAAGCCGTCAACCACCCCCTAATTTACATAATCTAACGTCTTCCTTGACTTGTCATGTTATTAGCCAATCAGCGTTTACCAGACGGGAATCAAATTTTGGCGGGAATAATGTCTCTTTTGAAATCAATTTTAAGGAAAAGGGAATTTTTAAGTACGTCCGTGTTCAGATGGTCCTTCCTGAAAAAATTTTAATTGTTTTTTTTGGTGATGACATGGAGCTGCCTTACCTTTATTTAACAGCAACAAATAATCAAGAATTTACTGGTAAAAGCTCGTTGACTTCGTTTTGTGCCGAAAGCAGTGAAAAAACATTAGGCTGAAGCACCATATTTCACGAACTGAAAAGTGTTGTGAAAGCAAAGATCGCTCAGAATGATTCGCAGGTTTCTGAAGGAGGAATTAACGTCAAACCAGGTCAAGATTCCAATCATAAATTGATTATTCGAAAAGTGAACCCGTTTGTCGCCTTTGTAACTTGTAGCCGGTATCAAATTGCGTTCAAATGATCGGTGAATTTTTGACTGCAACTTTTAAGTGTACGATGAGAACGAAAATATTTCAATGGATGAAATTTCTATTTAGACATTCTTCAAATTCAAGAAAACTGAGCCGGCAGAAGTTTTTGATAATGAACTCGCATGTGTATTCACTGCTCATTTATACGCAAGCAAAAATGCCAGACTGAAATCAACAACAACTAACGGATGGAGGCATTTTGGCCAATCGGAACAGCGCAAATCATCTGTATTGTTTCCTATCCAATTAGAAAAAAGTCCAGATTCTGACTTTTTTGCATGTGACCTGTAAAAGAAATGTATCATGCCCTCCTCCCGAGAGCAGATTACAGAGATAAAGGGAGAGGGCATGATCGCAGGTTACCCGCCTGTCCACATAATGTCTCATTTAAATTTGACCACGTTTACCTGATAGCTGGGGTGACCAGCAGCGGGTTACCTCACCTACCAAGGGGCTCCACCTCGATGTACAAACTTCTTTGTTTTTTTTTTAACCCTTTAATGAGATTCAACCGCATTTTATTCATGAGATAAAGACAAAAGGTTATGACGTCACTAGCGTTTATGTATTCCAGCGAAGATTCCACCGCAAAAACGCTGATTCTATGCCTAATATACTACTGAGGATAGGCTACGAGTGGCCCCTTATTTTCCTCTGGGATATTTGAGCGATTAAAATACAGGAGCGTTGGTCAACCTCCTCGAGGGTGACAAATTTCACGCGCTGGCCTAATTCGCTCGCTCCACTATCCCTGAGGAAGAGACTACTTGTAATCTAGTTGGAGAGGGTTGCGTAACGAGGCAAAAGGAAGTCAGCGTAGGAGACAATAATGTTTGGTACAAGCTAAACTTCTTCGTTTTTTTTGTGTAGGTTGAGCAGTGTTTTAAATTTTTCGCAATTCCCTCCTCGTGTGCATCAGTTTGGGCGGTGAAAAGTCAGGCTTCCTTTCTATATACAACATGTATTTTCACTCTGGTTGGTTGTCGAATTTCATTGACCCTAGATAAAGGGTAAATTGTAGGTAAATTGGTTATTAGCTCCTCGTATTGTTAGCGGGTACATCGCGATACCACCTGATGTCCTTCGAGATTGAAACAAGAATCCTCTTGGGATATTACAACGTTCAAATAAGAAAGTGCAGTGAAAATGTTTCATTGTAATGTTTCCTCTTAGTGACGTCAGTATAGCGGGTTGATTACAGAGACGACTGCTGACCAGGCGTTAGTGCTAATTCAGTTGTTATAGGTTTGGTCGGGTAAGATTTCATTTCAGAATTACATCGCCTATCCCAACTGTTTTACATTGGGGAAAGATTAAATGGCAGCCCAACGCACTCAATTTTGCTGTTTACAAATATTTGAGGAACAGTTAACATTTTTAAAAAGATAGCGGGCAATGCACTTGATATAACTATTTTTATTAGCTACAGCACGGTTGGAAACCTGTAATGTCATCCAAAATGTGGACCATTATAAACCTTGCAAGTTTTAAAACACGTTTAAAATCCATTTCTTACCATATTCGTAAAATCTGGAATAGTGATCAGCTGCCCGAACAACTTTATCAGCCACTGGGTACTCAAGATGACTGTGCTACGGTGCTTGATAATTATCCCCAGGTCATGATAGAAATTCACCATAGTAGTAAACTCTTCCTCATCATCGATGAAGCACTTCTCCTTGGCATAGGTCTGTAGCTTCGTTACACTCAGGTAATAAACTGGCTTGGAAAGCAAAGCGTTGATGACTTTCTCAAAGTTCAGCCACCTAGTTTACAAAACCAAAGAGAAAATTGATAGCACGCGTTTAAGTATCCATGTCACATATACAGAGTATCCCTGTACTGACTAAAGTACAGGACCCAGTTGTGCAAAAGGTGGATAACTCTATCCACTGGATAAATACATGGGTATCTGTCCAAAATCCAGTGGAAAGTGCCGTAAGGTTTCCTAATATTTTCTAGCTTAATAGTGATTCATTGTTTGAACAACCGGGGCTAGAAGCATACACACGTTCCAAAACATGACTGTTGACATGTGAAAAGACGTCAAGATCTTTTAATTAGTTAGTATTGATGGTCTTTCTAAAGCTAAAATTAGATCAATATACGCTTAAATAAGCTTAACTAATACAGCTGGTCAAGTTCTAAATGGTCAGCCTGTGCAGTTATGCAGGTAACTACAGATTGAACGGGTAAGTGATCCACTTTACTCTACCTTTTTAAATCGAAAATCAAACGTACACGATGCTTTTCAGCTAATTCGAAATAGGATTATAAAACGCTTCTGGGTAGAATATTCCTTAAGGCCAGTCAAAACTGCTTTTCACGGTTAACTTGTTTCAATCAACGAGACATTCATTTCTTATGACCGCAAGGTGGCTCATACAGGAACCACTGAATTTTTTCTGTTCTCGCTGTAATTATTTTAACCAATTAAAAAAAGTAAAGGACTACAATGAACCAGCCTTGAGATGTTTTGCGGCCACGCTTTTATGTAGCATCACAGGCAATGAGTTACTTATGACACCTACAAGGACTGGCGGAAACAAACGCCATACACGTAAACCGTAATCTCAGTGCGTTCACAGCTCAACTTTTGACATGGAAATTATTTAATATTTACTTTAATGGATTCTGAACATTCTGGTATAACCATTATTTACCTCACAGGTATCCTCTCCCCAATGTAAGGCTCCTGTCTTAGCACTTCCATGATTTTGACTTGTAGAGCTTGGATCTCATCAATGTTTTCATCTTTCCCGAAAACTATATTTTTGATCTTTCTTTGAGTTAATTTTGCAGTGTTGTCAATGCTGAAGATAGGCCGCACCACATGTCCTTCATAGTCCTTACCAGCAATTGCGTTCTGGATTTGTGTTTTCATTGTTTGAATGTCTTCAAATGGTTTGTCTGCATGGGTTCCTACAATGATCACTGGGGGACGTAAATAATGAGGCACCTCTTCCGCTTCATCATCACAGGTTTCTCTTCTCATCTGTACGACGCTATGCACTGTAGACAGCCAAGACAACAAGTTCTCAAGATTTGTTTCTCCATTTGGGTTTTCCAACTCAACATTACGAGATCCTTGTCTTACACAGGGCTTGGCTTTGTCATGCAGCGACTTGCTGAGGTTGCACACCAAGATATACAGCGCACGTGATGATAAGAATACAGGATGGGATGCATAATACAGGTGTTGTCCAGCAAAATCCCACAGTTCAATACTAACAACAGATTCTTCAGGCTTAACATCTTCACCATTCATATACTTTATTAAATTTACAGCTCGTTCCTTGATCTCCTCTGAAGGTGAAGTAGTATCAACCACTAACTCATGATCAGGTCCTGTTAATGTGAGTTCACTAACACTGTCTTCGTTTGGATCACCAACCTGAAGCAGATTACGAAAAAATTACAAAATATCTGTTGATTCTGATTCTAAAAGACTGACCGTACCTGGCTGGATTTTGGGACGAGAAATAATGGAGTGAGAAAAAAGGGAATAACGCCATTTTGTGGGGCGGAATAATTGAATAAGTAGGTTTTTTCGACGGAATAATGAGTTCTTTTTTACTGAAATAATGGAATAACGTAAATTTTCCAGCTGGAATAATGAACACCAGATTATTCCTCTTCATCCCCCGATTCGATTATTCAGACATTTAAAGTTGTTATTGATGACAGAAAATTCTCTATAAGCTCAAACATTGAGGTACGATTATTGGAGGAATGAGGTATCCAAAACATTAATACGCTCTTGCATTTTTTAAGGAACAGGAAATTTAAGAATATATAGAAATATGGTGTTTGATTGAGTCACCCCAACCCCTTGGCCTCGCTCCTCACATAAAAAAAAAAAAATAGTATAGGGAAATTGTGATTGACAAAAAAAACTGAGCGAAAGCTATAGTCAAAGCCTAATTAGCACTTACAAAATAAAAGTATAAATAAATACACGGCCTTACTCACTTTGGTTTGCACACGCACTAATAACCCAAATGCTAAGCTTACGTGTAGATGGGTGCTAGTATAATTCTTCACTCGGAACTGAACTTACTAGACAAGTATAAAAACGCTAATTAAATTTTTAACCAGCACTGAAAAAAAAAACACGATCTGGCAATTATTACATATTTTCCATACGGACATCGTAGTAAAGCGCAGGGAAGCCGTGGTGAGTTTCTCACTAAAACCTAACTTATGAAGGCAATAATCAATTCATAATAACTACTGCTAGGACGTTCTCGCAGTAACGAAGAATTCACGAAAAAATATCACATTTCAAAGACAAAAGACAAACCTGGTTCAAAAGAGGAACTTCTTCCTTTTCTCCATCAGTACCAACCTGTTTTCTATTCTTGTTTATATCATCATTTTGAACTATTGCTTCACCTCTTTCTTCCCCCTCAACCCATTCACGGTACATCTTTTCCACCACCACCTGCGCCACATCTTTCGTACATCCTAGCAACCCTTGGTTTCTCTCATCAATAGGTTGCCAATTCTTGACTTCATCAACGTCCAACCGAAATTTTGAAGGATCCACTTCAATTCCATCAGTACTTTTTTCTTTTCTATCAAATGGTAGACCAATGAGAGACTTCTTCAAACTTGTTTTTCCTGCTCGATCCTGCCCAATAAGCAATACTCGACCACGGTAAACATTGACAGCTCCATCTTTAAGAGCCCTTTGATAAGCGAGCTGTGCTTTTTCTCCGCGTGCGTCTATTTCTAAAGGAGCTAGTGAAAAAAATTAATGCATCTTTAAGGTAAGTAATGTCTTAGAGGTAATAAGTAAATCATTGGCTTCTAGTTCACTTGACTGACCTAGGACCTCACTTAGGGAAGGGGGAGGGGGGTAATTTCCATCAGCGACTAAGTACTACACCAGTGTTAATTGTCCTTCTTGTGATCTTTCAGTATGGTCTCTTAAGTTATTAAAACAATTCTGTGGTAAACATAATTTTACTAAATTTCAAATGTGACAGATAAATGTTGGTTATTTTTTTATATTGTTAAACAAACCAGCTGCTATCTTAAACTTGGTTTTTTTAGTGAGCTCACTTTAAGTGTCCATGCATAAATGATGTGCGAAAACTAGGGCTATGTTTTTCGTCAACACAATTATAAGTGCTTTTTCCATTCATGTAAAATGCCTGCCCCTCAGAAAAAAAAAACTATTATTCTGAGCATCAACGAACTAACTTCATCCCAATAAGCGCCCCCACCTCGAATGCGTTTTTGATAATAAGCGCTCCCATTCTAATAAGCACCCCTATTGCATAACCACCCTCATTCCAGGGGTAAAAATGCCAATAAGTGTCGCCATTCAATAACCGACTATTGTTCCATCCTACCGTGACAAGGTTGACCCTAATTCCAGCAACCGGAGTGAACGGCCGCGAACGCTCTCGATTGTTAGAATCCTAAATAGCAACCAAGACACGGCAAGATTGGGACTATATCAGCCTCAATTACCAAATGTAAATAGGTAATCACTTAATATGGGTACAATATTAAAACGAAACAGGTAATAAAACTAGCTACACTCAAATGGAACAAACAAAGATATACTTAATTTATAAAAGAGAAAGACTGTCAGAGGTAAAGGAAATGAGGAGTCTAACTTTTGGTAGAGATGTCGAGGGTATTTAGTCGAAGGTCGATTATTTCGTGTCGAGAGTCCATTTTTCATGTCATTTTTATTTTTCATACGTACAAATAAGCAATCTACAAATAAAAATAAAAAATAATAATGATCGCCTTTTTCTAGTTTAGTATTAGAAATATGGTCTTTCACTGTATATTTATCGGGAAAAAGGCGATCATTATTATATCCAAACACGGCACAAGGATCTTTTTTCCCATTACAATCTTATTCTAAGAAAACTTTAAGAAAAAATGTCCCGAAAAGCGCTCGAAAATACAAACGAAAATTGCTCATGCCCCCTGGGCATCCTATTTACTTCTTAAATCGAATTAATTCAATATGGCCGCCGTATCGGTAAAAAGGTCTATTTCTCACGCGTTTGCCTACTCGTCAAGATGGCGTCGAAACCCGTGACAAGGTCTATTATCGGATCGTCAGCAAGGATCTGATCACATGTGCCCGACATATATTCAAGGAGATCAACACGGTCATAAACAGGATCAGGGGGGAAATAACTACTCGCCACATGATAATTCTGATTTTGGTGTTGTTATTTTGCACCATACAGATTCAAATTCCAAGCTATCAGTGATATTCAACGCTTTAACGCCAACAAATCATAGCACCACCACCATCACCGGTTTGCGAGCCACGTCGATCTTTCCCGACTATAACATAGCCCTCTGGGCAAATCCAATGTAACAGGAATATCTTACTGAACCACGACACCGAAACAAACATATACCGTATTTCCTCGAATAATAGCCGTCCCTTTATTAATCGCCTCCCTCAAATTATCGCCCTGTTAAACGGAAATATGTAATGGTAACAGGACTGAGTGGAGTCCAATTCGGTCTGTAATCATACTGTTGAAGAACCTTACTGGGCGTACTAGCAGGTTCAACAACAAACACACGAGTTCTTGTTCAATCTACTCTCTTTAATTCTTCCGTAAGGTGTCACGAAGTTAGTGCAACTTGTATTTTTACAATTCTCTACAAGATCAGTGTTACACGCATTTTTATATCAGCCAGGAAACCAGCTGCTTAGCGCAACGCGAATGCTGACGTAAGTCTAATCCGATTGGTTGAAACAGTTTCATTAGCATGAAACCTTCGAGATAATTGCTTTGTCGAAATGACTCTTCAACCGAAGTTTTCACTGCTAAGCTTAAGTCAACTGGCCAATATAAAACTAGGAGAACAATATAAAAACTACAAGGTGTATACCAGTAAACAGACTTTTCATACTAACAGATAGGAAAGTACTAAAATTACAGTTGGAAATTCTAAGGTTGTTGTCAATTTTCAGAAGGTGTTAAGCTTCTTCATCGAAGATGATTGGCTACAACTTTTCCATAATTTAACCACGAACGTGATCGCAAACTTAAAGGACAAATTAAAAATACAGTTCAAAGTACAAGGCGGAATTTAAAACAATAGTTGTTTGATTACAAAAACACCTATAAAACCACTAAGCTTAATTAAAGTTATCCACTGCCAAGAATTCGGTTAAAAACTCGAGGAAACACGCTTAAAACTCTTAAAAACAAGGAGGGTAGTAGTTCCTGGTAAATATCGAAGGGAGACCAGATTAAGGTCAAGGATGTCAAACTAGACAAAATTCTTAATATAAACAAAGCTTTGTCATCTGCCAAAGGCTCTAATTAAACATATCTCGTGAACAGAAGTGTTACCGCGGAGATGTACCAAATTGGTACATCTCCTTTGCACCGAATTCATGTCAGGAGAAACTTTCTATCCATCATCAATTAACTTAGAAAAACCAATACTACTAGTAGTGAAGTAGCTTACTCAAACCAATCAACAAGAACGCTTACAACAACTCCACTATAAACATATATTGTAACAATTGTCACAAGTGGCTAACGTAACTCTTCAATCGACATTTTCCTTTAATAAGACCAAGGAGAATGAATCAACAGAAATCATTTTCTTATTTCGGGAGAGGATGTCGTTTAATCAGTGCTGATGCGTACGAGTTAACACCAAGTAAAATGAGTCAAATTGCTTTTTATGATATTTTTCCTTAACCTATAAATATTTCCCGAAACGAATGAATTTTGTAATAAATCCCAAACACCGAATAAAACTCCTTTGATAATTTTAAGTCAAAAACGTGCGCACTGCGAACATTTTCCATCGCTTCCATTTTTATTGTTTAACAATACGAGTGGTTAACAAAATCGGACGACCGCGTAGCCGGAGTCCGATTTGTTTAATTACGAGTATCATAACTTCAACAAAATTTGTGATATAATAGGCTATTTTTTAAATCAAAACACAAGAAATTCGAAATTTTGTTTTGCTAATGGCGCGTGCTGTCCAATTACTTAGGCATGACGCGTACTGTCCTATTACACTGTCCAATTTAGGCTGAAATCAGGGCAGTTGATAGCCAATCAGATTTGACAATTTTGTTATAGTTATGATTATTAAAACAATCGCCTTCCTCGAATTATTCCCCACCCCTCTCGCCATCTTTTCTTTCTTTCGTTGAAATGGAGCCTAATCCAGCAAAAATGATTAGTGGCAATTCAAGCTCGAACGCCGAGGATATTAACGTTCAAAATTAATCAAGGAACCAACATTTGGAACACTCAAAAGGCCCATGTTCAATTTATTTCACGCTATCGACTTTTGGTTTAATGGAATAATAAAACAAAATATTTAGGGCACGACTTCCACTGAGCACTATTTGAAATATTTGCCCTCCTCGAATATTCGCCTACTTTTGGTGCGAAAAAGGTAATAATCGCCCCCAGCTATAAACGGGGCTGAAGTACGGTATCAATGTTATTGTTACCAAACTCAGCGTAAAGAGCCGGAGCTAAAACTGGTTTTGCCAGGGATCAGGCATTCAAAACCACACACTTTGGCATTATCTTTCGGGCTGTAGGCCCTATGTTGGTTGACATCAGTATTTGTGATGCTGTTCTAAATATCAAACATGGGGGTTCTGGGACTAAGAAAGCCTTTACCTTCGCACAAGTTTTACATAGACTGAGTACTATTTCCTCTGGCTTATGAAGTTGTTTTACTCACGAAGTATCCAGTGCTTTTACGATTAGCTTTTGTACTCAATTCCAGTAAAAGTACAAGCACGCTTGTTTAAATTCAGGGCCCAGCATCTTATAGACACACTTGCAAGATAGCTCGGCTCGCAACAGTCATAAGTAGCAGCATTTACTAGTTTTCCCACCCTACCCTCTCTGAGTAGTTTTTGGTTGTACTCATTTCCGAGTTCTACTTTTGGTCGAGATGTAGAGGGTCGAGGGTAACATGTTGGGGATCGAGGGTACTATGTCGAGCGTCCATTTGTTATTTTTTCTATATTTTTTAAATGTTTCTTTCGCGTTTCTTTAAGCGAGTGAAGAAAACCAGACACGCAAGAGCTTAGTTTCTATTAGCGTTGACTCAGAATGTTGACAGAGGCATTGTAATAACGGTACTTCCAAAAGAAAAGAGTCCAACCTTTCGTGGAGGTAATTAGGGAAAATACACTGAAAATAATAAACGCGCTTCGGATAGTCTTATTTACAGCCCCGACAAGCTCGTCACGCAACGCTTTTTTCCGAAAGATTTATACCTTGAACGTTTTTTGTTTTTGTTTTTGTTTTCTTTTATGGGGGTGGGGGGAATTTCACTCCCTCACCCAACTTCTAATGGTCCACCCCTAATCACGATATTACTAGTGTTTATTGTGCTTTAGTAAGACTCGTTATTATCTAGTACAATAAGCATACTCTAAACACCAAAAACAAATCCCTTGAAAATCACGAAAAGTTTCAGCACAGTTTAAAATACATACACAAGATAAAATTAATAATCTTTCTCTACCCCAACAACCATGTGCGCGAACAGCGGACGTGACGTCCAAGATCGCAGATATACTATGGGCCAATCATTTCCAAGTTGCTGTTATTTTAACAAAATTTGCATTGTTTTTCGAGAAAAACTGCATCACTGCAACACCCTGTCTTACGAAATGCGCTGCCTCGTGGTCTCCTGCATCATCATAAACTGTTTGCCTCTTTTCTTTGGTATGATTCGTGAAAAAAAAAAAAAAGAAAGAATATTTTTGGTGCTTTCTGCGTAACGCAAGCGTCACGACACGTCGTGAAAAATCTCAACCACGGTTGACGTAAATTTACTTCTTATTTTCGCATTATTTGTGTGCATGTGTTGCAAGGTTTTTTCATACGATTTCCTGGCTGTCTCTTTTTTTGGAATCGAAAGTCCGTGATTCGTGGTTGGGGGAGGAAGTGGAAGTTACCCGAAAAAATTCGTACAGGTTGCTATAATATATTTTGCGCAACTTTCGTCACCGAAAATAAAAATTCTTGCGAAATAAAAAATACAAATTATACTTGCATTTTTCAAGCAACCTGATTAAAATCCTTGAAACATGCGTTGCGTGACCAGCTACAATTGTAGTCCCCTAGTCGGGGCTTTGCATATGATAAAGCGCGTTAAGTCAGTCGTCTATCAGGAAGCGCGTTTATTTTTAGTGTATTTTTGTTAAAACTTGACCAAACTTGACTTTTCTAAAAAACTTAACTTTTGGATGTCTGACGCTCCTCGCTCACTTCGCGCTTTAGTATTTGTATTTTCTTAAAATTGAAAAAAAAAAGAATCCTATTAAAGGTAGTAGGCTCCTGATCCTAGACATAAAAAATAGACCCTCGACATCATTTAAAATCAGCTGTGAATCCCACGCAAGTACCTTCCACCCTTGACAAGTCGACCAAACGTCGGAATCGATGGAATACGACGTTTGGTGTTCATAAACTTTAGATATTACCTGGAATCTTGTCATTTGTCTTTTACTTTTTAATGTTTCAATGCTTATTCCCATAATTAATAAATAGATTTAGCCAAAGCTAAAAGCGAAGTTCCCATTGATAAATTTATAACTTAAATCAAACAATAATTTTGTATTCCACAAATTAGTTATCTTAAGGGCACATTCATGTGACTTTTGAGGGAAAAGCTAAGTGATTTTGGAGTGAAACAAATCTTGTATCCAGTTGATATAGCCTTCTATGTACACCCAAAAAATAGTCTTTGGTCACATTTAAGAGCAATAATGGCTCTTGATCACAGTAGATAAGGCGTGCAAACCGATCTTTTATTATCTTTTATAGACCACATCTGAGGACAAAGAGTACTATGAGGCGCTGTTTTTTATCATACAATCCTCGTACAAAATTTTTCAAGACAAACTTTCAAGACAAATTGCATTCATTTAATATTCAGGACCATCGAAGCACGCGTGGACTTTTAATTAGCGAAACCGTTCAAAAAGTTTGCAAAATCACCTATACGGCCAGCCGGTTCTAACTTTTGACAAGCGCCAAATTTGCGAAGAAATTTTAAAAGAGTTACGCTTCAACGTTAAAAAGAATTTATTGAGTCTATTTTTTATTGATGGTTTAATAACGATGTGTAATCTTAAAAAGCGTTTGATACGCTCTGGCATTTTGAGTACTCCTGCAAGCGATGTTTATGAACGGCTGAAAACAAAAGGCAAAGCGATGAAAATTACACTTTTGACACTGCCAACAATCAATAAAGAAATATAATTCGGTAGAACATTTACAGAGACAACAATTTTCATTCACGAAAACAAATGAGTATTTAAGTGTCTCTAAGAATCCTCAAGTCTTTACTAGTAAGCTTAAAGATTAAGTTTATGTTTTAAGCCGCCGGTTTCCCGGTGTTTGCTGTTTTCAAAGATGAAATCACGACAAGAAAGTCGCTCAAAGCTTTCTTTCTACAGCCAAAATTATAACTAAATATTCTTCGGAAAGTTTTTTCTTTCTATTTTCGGTGAATTAATATCGACTAAAGGCTTTTTAAAGTTCTGTAAGCTCAAGCTTATATCAAACCTCATACTAGGCAGACTAGGTCAGATCAGTGTCTAAGTCAAATTTTAATACAAACGTGCATAAACTAGCTTCATAAACTGCGCCGCTGGACTTCATGAAATTATATTTGAATACAATTATTACTCAGACTTACCATATTTTGAGATGCAGCTCCTTAAAGCTATCAAGTAAGGCAAGGATCGCTTGAGCCTTTATAATTCTCGTACGCATCCAGCAAGGTGAAAAACAAAAACAATGCCATCCGAAATGGAATTATCGGCATTGACAAGCGACGCATTTCTCAACCAAAAACCCAATAAACAAACCAGCCATGAATAAGAGAACACTCTTGATAGCAGCTGTATTTCATTTTGTACATCCAGTGGAAAAAGACAGTTAAAAACATCACAAGTTGACTCAAAACTCTGTCAGCTTCAGCTGTCAAAGTAAACAACTTTCAAGATGCTGCATAAATTTTACGCATGAACTCACCCGTCCAATTTTTAGCAATCAGAACATAAAAATTGGACGTGGAGCGTGACTAACACGTGACCATGGTAAGAAAAGGTCTTCCCCGCCTGTATTTAAAAAAAAAAAACTGGCTGAATTTTTGCGTCTGAGGTCAGTTTGAAATCAAAATCGTAATAGTGCGGGGCGATACTGACATAAACACAACACATTTGATATGAATTTTAAAAAAAGTAAACGTGAGCCTGCGATCATTTGAAAACAAGTTAATTGTCAGCGGATAACTTCAAAAAATACTCAAACTTGATGGGTCGACACCTGAGCCCGCGATACGGTCAGGTGATACTGGTCAGCGGATACCTTGTTTTGACAGCTGTCAATTGATGACAACATTAATGTGCAATCAGCTTTCTCCTGGGCTCCCAAAGAAGCTAGAAAGTGTGAGAGTAAACATTGGTATGCCTGTGGTGCGGACGGACGGTCGGTCCCTCGGTCGCTCGGTCGGTCGATCACCTGATTACCAAATTTTCTAGGATGGATAGATTTATTTACCCATGGTGCTCCGCTGGCGCGCTTCACGCGCCGAGTTCCGCTATGAATTTATAATACCTATTTTTCACAGCTGATTTGATATTTTAATACAGAGCAATTAATTGAAATGAATTAATGCGTACAAAGAACTTACCATTAATATTAAAACTACAGTTGTAGCATATCCTGATTTCTCAAACACTCAAATTATGAAACCCCCAACTGAAAACAAAACTGACTTCCCTTCCCCAGGCAAGTACTAGAATTTATCTCGGTTTTTTCGAACTTCGAAATAACTAACATATCCGCTATGCTCACCTGCAACACCGCCAACTAAAATGACTCCTTTCTTCCTCAACTTCAGGGTACATCTTATTCCGTCAACAGTTAAAGGATTATGAATCACAGTCAGCAACCTCAGCTCCCTGAGGTCACTAATCTCAGCAGGTAGTTCAGTTAGTTTATTTCGAGTCAAGTCCAGCTCGTCAAGTTTGGTCAGCCTATGTATGGTGGTAGGTAAATCAATCAAATGGTTGTCTCTCACACTCAGCCTCCTCAGCTCCCTCAGGTCACCAATCTCAGCAGGTAGTTCAGTTAGTTTATTTCCATCCAAGTACAGCTCTTCAACCTTGGTCAGCCTCTGTATACTGGTAGGTAAACCAACCAACTGGCTGTGACTCACATTCATCACCCTCAGCTCCCTGAGGTTACCGATCTCAGCGGGTAGTTCAGTTAGTTTATTTCCATCCAAGTGCAGCTCCTCAAGCTTGGTCAGCCTCTGTATACTGGTAGGCAAACCAACCAACTTGTTGTTATTCACAATCAGCACCCTCAGCTCCGTGAGGTGACCAATCTCAGCAGGTAGTTCAGTTAGTTTATTTCTACTCAAGTACAGCTCTTCAAGCTTGGTCAGCCTCTGTATACTGGTAGGTAAACCAACCAACTGGTTGTAACTCACCCTCAGCACCCTCAGCTCCTTGAGGTTACCAATCTCAGCAGGTAGTTCAGTTAGTTTATTTCCACTCAAATACAGCTCTTCAAGCTTGGTCAGCCTCTGTATACTAGTAGGTAAACCAACCAACTGGTTGTAACTCACCCACAGCTGCCTCAGCTCCCTGAGGTCACCAGCCTCAGCAGTTAGTTCAGTTAGTTTATTTCCATCCAAGTACAGTTCTTCAACCTTGGTCAGCCTCTGTACACTGGTAGGTAAACGAACCAACTGGTTGTAACTCACCCCCAGCACCCTCAGCTCCCTGAGGTCACCAATCTCAGCAGGTAGTTTAGTTAGATTATTTCCAACCAAGTACAGCCTTTCAAGCTTGGTCAGCCTCTGTACACTGGTAGGTAAACCAACCAACTGGTTGCCACTCACCTGCAGCACCCTCAGCTCCCTCAGGTCACCGATCTCAGCAGGTAGTTCAGTGATTTTGTTGTCATCCAATTTGAGCACAATAAGATTCTTCAGCCTGCTGATACTTGCTGGTAATTCAATCAGGTTATTTTTATCCAGCACAAGTTTCTCTGTTTCGCTCAGTTCAGTGACTGCATCAGGTACCCTGAAGAGTGTTTTTCCATTCAGACCCAAAACTGCTAATCCATCTTCATATTTCAAGTAAGCTCTCAATTTTGTATTGGAATAATGCTCCATGTTTCAAATTGTTAATAACAAATCTCAACAGCTCTTCTTACCATCTAGAAATAACAAATAGTAACCTAGTATAGAAAAATCAAAATCATATCATCAATAAAGGTGAATTTTACAGAATTAAAATAAAAGAAATCTAGAACAGACGCTGTCAGTACATTCAAATAATCTCGTATTAGTAGACTAAGGTATGTAAAAGATAGTAATTCTGCAGCACATTATTTTGAAAATGTCATTAGTTAGGAAGTGACCCATCTGCTTGCATGCGACTGAAAAGAATTGAAAATGACATTGAATGTGCAGTCCTATTTACATGTTGGAAAGTAATAATTACTATCAGTCTATAAAAAAAATCGTGGGAACATTGTTAGAGGTAATTTGTGCCTTCTAAGAAATTCAGGAACAATAACCTTTCCCCCTTTCTTGCTGTATAAAGCTCAAGGGTTTCTTTTCTGCTTTTAGGTAGCTACCATTTTCTTCAAAGTGTCTCAGGAGCTCTTTCTCATTTCCGTTCAGTCTAAACTATTGTTGATGACCACCAAAAATGCAAAGATTGAGTCAGGTCATCTTAGGGAGGTGGTCACTTATTGAATCGAACAGCAGTGGGTCCCTTTATAGAAGATCGAGATCCCAACACATCTACATTTTGGAACAGAATTTATCACATGCAATTTCTAATCTGCAATATGTGTATAGTTTCATGGTGTCACTAAAAGATTTTCACATACTTTGAGTAGTGTACTACATACAACAAACAACAAAAAAGTCACTGACCATGATACAAGGAAAACAAATTATGTCATTATTGTGTACTGCTCAGACTGTTTGGAATAAAGGCCTTAAGAAACACTGATTCCCAGTTGTGGCTATACATGGGTGTATTATGGGTAGGTGAACATGTTTGTGATCAGGTACATGTAATATAATAATATATTACATCCTAAGGTGACAAATGATTTGATTTCTGTAGATCTGGAAATAATCCCAGGAGGGGGTGGTTAATTGATTTTCTGTGGCAGGCATTGGGGATGCCTACTCGTTGAAAACGCTTATTTGAGGGGGAGACACTTATTTGAAGGGGTCGCTTATTTCATTTTGTAGTATTTCAGCCTCAAGATAGCATTTTGTCTTTGCTTCACACAAACAAAAAAAACCTAAGCAATGAAACCACAACATATTTTTCAATAAATACCCAAGTGTGTTATGATCATGTCCTTAGCTTGGAACTTTCCATTAAAACTATCCTCAAGCACTATATTCAGAGGAGCTGAGTGATTAACATCTGATCATGTGATGTCCCCAAATAAGTTATTCTCTTGTGACTGTAACTTTTATGCTACCCTTTTGAAAGATAAAAGTCCAGTACACCATGTATTTAGTAGGGCAGGGTGTTAAAGGTGGTCGCTTATAAGAAGGGGAGGGCCAGAAGCTTAATTTAACACTATCCCATTACTGCACATGTACCGAACTTAGATTTTCTGACAGGATGTTAAGAATTCAAGAGATCCACATAGTGTTATAGAACCTTCCAAAATCTTTGCATCATGCTCGGTTGAGTTACACCACTAAACCTGTCTCAAAACTACAGATCAATGTTCCCATTAACTTTTGATTTGAGTCAAATTGGGAGTTTCTAGCATTGCTTTTACTTAGATACAAGAAGAAACAGACAAGACATGGATATGGATGCCACTGAAAAGACCTTCCAATGACGTGTTAGTAAAATTAAAAAACCTCCTTAACAAATATGACCAACTAAATTAACAGCTGGCCCTTGATGCATAGAAAAACAAGTGCAATGAAATCATAATAAATTACTGTTTGACTAACTTTTGCGATGCTTTCATTATGTAAAGATTGCATTTTTATTTATACCCTTTGAGCTATTGAGGCTAGAACACGAGCAAATATTACTGGATTTATTTTGAGCTTGCCATAAGTTGAGCTTTGACACAATTAAGTTTCACAGAGGAAAGGCAGTTAAGCAAGCAGAACAAGCTTTCAAGGTCACAATGCAGCCGTGCGAGCGAAAAAATCACAAAAAAACTTTTTGTGCCATAAGGCAGTTACTAAATAAAACAAAAGATTTTGTCAAAAGTGTAATATATCACTTGAGATATGTAAACAAAGGAACCCAGTCAGAGATGAATTTGCGACAAAATCTTGTTGGATCTGAGTGTGACAGTTCTGTTGTCGTTTCAAGAAAAAACACATGATGTTTGTGTGTGCACAAAATCCTGATAGTATCTCTTTAGTATTTTTTTTAACAATTTGAAGCCTAAAAGAGTGGTACTAATTTGAATGGGGAGCCTATTTGAGGGGCGGAGGGTGGAGAGGGGGGTTAATTTGAGCATTTAGGATAATTAGTGCCTTGGGGCTGTGTATCTTAGCAATGCATTGATGTCTTGATTATTGTTTTTATTGCCCAACTTTATTGTCTCAGGAATTCCCTTTTGCCATAGTGAATTCTTGAGACTCAGCAATTCAGCAGTGGAATTTTGAGAGTTAATTTTTGGTCCAGGGATTCTTTCAGTTGTTGGAGGTCTTTTTGATTTTTGCTCTTATATTCTACAGAAATTAAATCTGGGGTACCCCCTCGGGCAATAAGATCAGTATTACAGCCAGTAGCCTAGCTCTTTCTCCTGGGTAGGGTGGTCTGCCAGTATTTATTGCTAGTGACAGGCCAGGTAATCTATCCATACCCATACAGGGAAATGGTGGATCTTAAGGTCTCTGATATACTTCCACTTCTTCAACAATTGTGATAACAGGTCATTTGAACGGTTATTCTATGTATTCCTCTTCCAAATAAGGTCAATCGAATGAATGCAACCTTAGGAATATTCGGCCACTTCATTTGCGCTTTAAACCTGAACGAGGAATAACAAACAGCATACTTGTCATTCAAAGAGATGCAAGTAAGTGGCCGCGTATTCTAAAGTTAATAACAATGGAACGAGTTTTAACACGAGGTGACACGAGTGAGCGCAGGGAGTGAGCTTTCTCATACCTCAACAACTCGATCGTATTAAATGCCATAATCACGCACTTTCTATGAAGTATTCGTTATGAAATATACACCTCTTACCTAAGGCTGCTGATCTGAGGAAGAAAAGTGTTTGATGAATTTCCTCTAAGTATGGCGATTGTTCTTCGGCTCCTTTCACGGAATGCTCTGATTACATTTCTTGGCTGACTTCCAGTTCATTCCTAGTTCCCAGGGTCTCTCTACCGAATGGGATAATAAGGAATCTAGAACGGCAAAATGGAATCACGGAAACGGAATACGGAATCAAATATCAGTGATAGAAAATTAAAGAATTTCACGACATTGCACATTTTAGTAAAATCCAAAGAGAATTTGTTTCAGTTTTCTTTGCAGTTCCCTTAAATATATTCTTGTTAATGTGTCTTGAAAAGGTTTGCCATAGTGTGATTTATTGCGCTGCAAGGCCGATAAAGGTAATTTTACAAGTACTTTTTATTCACGTGTTTACGGGTTGAATAATACAGTTAAACATTAACTAGTCTCCTCTGCCCAGGTATTAAATTTATTCATTTATTTTGATTGTCATTGCTAATATTTTTTTCCGAATCGATCGCTTGGAACTTTCTTTCACAGATTCCGTTTCTGTTTCTGTTTCCGGTTACGTGATTCCGTTTCCAGATTCCGGATTCCAGATTTTACGCCCGCGGGACGGGGGACACTACGAGTACGGGTAAATTAGCCGTTACCAGGGGCAACGGATAGAAACGAGTAAGCTACCGGGTAGAATGGTTACGTCATTCCGTTACATCTGGGAAATAATGGTTGCCTTTTATAAAACTACGAGGTAAACATGTTTGTTTAACCGTACCAGTAGGCTGAAACCGCCCGGTGTATAGAGGCCACTACTCTCTTATTTCGCCTAGATGGGTATATGTACGAAAGCTTAAAGGAACATCTGAGTTTGACTTGAAAAATTGGTGTTTGTTTTGTTAAAATCGGAGTTTGTTTTCAAAAAGTTGAATTGGAAAATCGAAGTTTGCTCTTTAAAAAAATGGGAGTTTGAATAAAGGAGTATGCTTTCGAAAATGGGAGTTTAAAAATGGGAGTATATACGTTTTTGAAAATGGAAGTTTGTTTTCGAAAATCGGAGTCTGAAAGTGGAAGTTTGTTTTCCAAAATCGGAGTTGAAAATCAGAATTTGTTGTCGAAAATCGGAGTTTGACGTATGCGCTTGTTCGGCGAGAGTCGCTTGAGCTTTGGTCCCAGACTGTGTGGAGGGGTCGATGTTTAGACGTTGACGAAATGGAGGTCAATGCTGAAGCAACGACGGCAAGAAAACAACCTTTCTGAACCTGACCCAAAACCAGGTCAAAGATCTCCAAGAAACGCTCTGCAAAAGAAGAAAGAAAAGAAGGAAAACAGAACGCGGAACCACCTGTCCACCTTTAACCAAAAATACGAATCACAGGATCACAAAAGAAATTAGAACCGAAAACGCCGCTACAGTGAAGCACTTTCAGAAGAAAAATAATAGAACAATTAGAGGAGGCTTTAAAAGCACTGAATAGGCATTCCCAAAGAGGAACATGTCCAAAGACATTACAATACAAAGCAAGAGCAGACGAAGCCTTTAAAACAGACATTAAAAAGATAAGAAAGACGACAGAACATTAGAGGTGCTTAACTATGTGTTTTCGCCCTCATCATGTACCATGAAAGGAGAATCGCTGAATGCAATAGAACACTCAAGCAGCAAAAGAGGCCGATACTGAATTAAGAAACTGTAAGCAAGAAATCAAAGAAATTAAAAAGTTCAACGAGTTCAGAGCATGATGAACAAAATGTCAAATAAAAGTGGTGAAAAATATACCTGTCTACTTACTGAGTTTACATAACAAGAGTGTACAAGAAAACAACAAACTATTTTTCTAATGCACACTAGTGAGCAGCACAAAGCAACCCGAGTATGCTGTTAACTTGATTTATTTCTCCGACCGGCTTCGTCTGATCACACATGTAGACAATAAATACGGTAATACAGTTGAACCTCCGATAAGACGCTACACAAAATAATTGTAGAAAAGAATGCAGGGAAATCATATATCTATTCATGCACCGGTAACCTCTTGGCCGTCTCAATCATGAGAGCTCTTCCATTGTTGTCACCTTTATAAAGTGGTCATCAAGCGCTCGATACACTAGTTTAGCTTCATTTCAAAAGTATGATGAAGGGATACAGGGGGAGGGGGGTGGGGGGACAGATTCCGCTCCAAGCAGGACAGGAGAATCAAGAATAATTCCATTAACATTTTACCCATTGTCATGAAGGAAAAAGAACAGCACAGTCGTTTGAATACGCGACCATATGTGTGGGGGATTTGGAGTTTGATTCCCGGGTGCGGAACCTTCACCTTTACCACTGAAAGATAAAAATTTCGAGAAAAACTACCAAAATGATATATTTTATTCTTCATTTGTGAACGGTTATGGCGTCTATGAGACGTACATTGCGCACCCAACATCGCTGGGTTCTATTACATTAACGAAAACAGTGCCATGCGAAAAGTTTGATCACGTTTACTACAGTTACTAGTTCATTTGCATATTGTGTGTTCTTTTCTAACAATCCATCGAGTTAGCCAACTCAAGAAATATCATGCTCATAGGTTAAAAGTAATCCAGTTTTTTCTGCTTATACCATTGAATGTCAAATTAACAGTCTTTATCACCTTTATGATCCTTTTACGTTGGCGAAAACGTCTCAATACCACAGGTAATTGGAGATTAGTCAACGGCACAGAACAAACAGAATACAAACAGAATAACTAGACCCAGGTAACTAGACTGAACCATTGTCAAGGTCGGCACAAGGTGAAACCTACCGCAGACTTCCCTACAGTGACAGATTAAATATTTTCAAAACTTGAAGAGGAACGAAGAATAGAAAGGAAATATAGCGATACAAGACGTAACTGTTTATCGTGCCAACGTGGTTTTAGCAGTTGAAACCGCCGCGTATCCAATGAAAGTTATTTGTCAAAGCCTCCACTTCTATGACACAAGCGTCTTTCCTTCCTCAGACACGAGAATAAACATCCAGGTGTATATTCGACGTTCTTAAACAGACAACGACAGTCTCCACATGTATCAGACGAATTTCATCGTACTTTTCTTCAAGCTCAGACTTCCTTCGATAGTTCCTCTTCTCATCTTGGTCGTCTTTTGTGTTTCGTCTTCTTCTTTCTCTTTTGTTTTATAAGAGCAAACTTCCAAACGCTAGCAAGAAAATAAAAAACTAGTCAAATTAAAAACATTATAACTCTCAGTGATTTTGTTACAAATAGTTATGGTGACTCCATCATCTTGTGAAAAATCACGAGTCCCTGTTCGGAACCAGTGACTCACAGTTGAAAAAAATAAGGAGTCTTAAATTGATAAAAACTCTTTATTACAGTTTACTGAAATTAAAATATAGTCCTTCTATACATTTATAGCACAAAAAAGACTAAAATAAATACGCATCTTTAAACAACAGCCACAGAAATCACACGAACAGGATATTCTACCAAACAATCTTCAAATCGATCGATCGCTCCATGCAAAATCTTGAAGAAAAGTTGTAGAACTCCGAAATTTGTTTGGCCCTACTACAAACACTGAAAAAAATTTATGTAACTTACCAAATTCGTTTGCACCTTCAACAGAGTGACTATAAAATTAACTTTTCACAAACTGTGCAAGTCAAACTGAGCAAAATGTATTCCTAGATTTTCGCGAAAAAGTCAGCTTCTTGATATAAAAATCCAAATTTCGCTGCAACCGATTTGTGTTCGAAAATTGATTTTTTGACTTTCAGCTTTTTTGGGAGGGAGGGATGGAAAGGTGAGACAAAAGTTTGTGGGGCCTCCTGGGAAGTAGCCTGCGCTAGGCATTCAGAATGGAGTTAGGTGTGCAGACGGTCAGAGAGCGGGAAACAATCCCTACACACCCCCTCATAGTGTTTTTCTGCTCACATCTTATAGCGCCGTCCCCATAAATCAAAACACCTGGAACAGGTTACGAGGCCCTTTTGATGACTGACAAACGTTGATAGAATTCTGGTTTGAAAACAAAAAAGCGCCAACACATGACAGTCTAATAGACCTTGTCACGGTTTTGGAAGCCATCTTGACGATCAGGTAACCGCATGAGAAATTACAGTGTTGGTGTTAGAATCTAATGTCGAATAATTTCCGTAAAACGGCTGTTCTGAGAAAAATATGGATTGTAAACTAAAGCTTCACTCCTAAGGATTCTACTGAAAAAGTTTTACAGCGTCACATGTAGCTACCTGCGCTAGAACTAGTTTTTAAAATTTTATATACATTTGTCTGTAAAAATTTTCCTCCTGCCGACTAAAATTTCCCGGGAAGAATTGTAGACAAATATATAGAAAATCTAAAGCAAGCATCTGGAGAAATTTAAGCACAGTATTTGTTAGTGAAATCCTTTGCTGTGTAGCTCAAGTTTACACAGCATTTTTTTTTCAGAAAAGCCTTTTTACGAAAATTATTCGACATTAGATTCTCATTCATACACTGTAATTTTTTACGTGGTTGCCTACTAGTCAAGATGGCTTACAAAACTGTGACAAGGTCTATTTTCAATCACCAAATCTTAAATCGTGTGCCACTAAATTTTTGCAATTTTTACGCATTTTTTCACCAAAAGAACTTACTGCCACTTGGTATGTAAAAAAAACTCACATTTACCCGCTGGCGAATTGTCGTCTCCTGTTGATACATTGGATTCTTCTTCCCAAGATAACCTACAAAACACAAGCGCAAATGAAGTCCAGGTACAGCTAAACCACTATGCTGAAAATTAACTCACAAGGTTTCTGTGCTAATTAACCCCTATTATCCCAATATCCACGTACAAATTCTCCAGACTGATCTCCATACAGTTTCTTAAAGAATTAGTCCAGAGAATTTGTTTTAAGATCAGAGCAGTTTCCTTTAAGTGATTATTATAACCTTTACTTTCCGTTACGTATTGATATTATTGGGGAAAATTGACCTTGATCACTCTTGGGACTTGAACTGTAGTATTTAACTCTAGTTATTGACATGATTGGTCAATTGAGTTGTGATGTCATGGACGTAAAATTTAGCCGTGTCTTTATCAGATATAAAGACACTCATTAAACATTAATTTCTTTTGTTTTTTCTTTATGAATTATTAAAGAGTTTTTGAAGATACGTTAAAATGGATAGAGTATAAAAAAAAAGAAAATCTGTATCTAAACGGAAAGAGGAGAAAGGCTAAGAGAAAGAAAGAAAAGGAAAAAGAAAACAGAGAACGTAACAGCAAGAACCTGAGAAGGACAAAGGGAGAAACTGAGGAAGAAAAGAGAGAAGGAACAGAATGAAAATGTAAGGTAGAAAACGTGTGAGAAACCCAGTCAATTGTGAGTGTACTGTTACTTTAAAAATAAATCGTTCTGTCCTGCTAAGTCTCTCAACGTCTTCACATTGTGGGAGTACGTTCCACATTACTTGTCACTCGCGCAGAACTCGCGGCTCCATACTATCAGGCTCCTCGCAGAGCAGTTCGGCACCGATCCTCAAATTGTGGCTTACTAATATACCACTATAGCAATTAACATATAGGGTACAGGGATCCATATACCCAGTCGGACGATTAAGATAACTCCGAAAGTCGCCCTTCGGACGAGTGAAGTTTTGCTCAACATCAAAATGCTTTCAAAAATTCTTATATAATTTTATACACTTTCCTTTTTCTCATTACTTCTCATCCACTTAAAACTTTTAGAATAATGGAGAATAACAAGCAGCTTTTGTCTACAATGAAATCGTAAGTTTGGGCTCCATCTTTGATGGTGCAGTGTTTTCTACGAAACGATCGCAGGCTCAGTTTTTGTGAAGTAATGCATTTTGAGGCTATTCGTAGAAAACAAGACAGCACTTATCAAGATGTGGCGTTTTTTAGAAGGCGTTTCCTCGCCTTCGACGGAAAAAAAGGTGAAGCAGAAGCCGGTGCCTTATACGCATCAAGATGTGACGTTTTTGAGAAGACGTTTCGCTCCCTTCCTTGGAAAAAAAAGGTGACCCAGGAACCACTGCTTTATACGGGGGAAAAGGTAAAGCGCACCGTATTTCCTTCATGGCAAAACTGACCGACCGTGGCTACTTGTAAAACGCAAATAAACTGTGTTTAGCCTAGGCCTGTAGCCTGTTGTACTTTACAGTTTATTCAAAACCCTTTCTTAGAAACTGTAACGGAAATTCCATGTCACACCTGTTCAATGTATCTCTTAACGCCTGGCCATCACCGTCTTCATAACTATCAACATCTGATAAGAAAACATACTTTGCATTAACAAACCTGTTCAACAGTGCATCAACATAGAAAGAAGTTCTCATTCCTTACCGATTACGTCATCAGCTTCCAAAGTACCTCTGAAATTAGAAAAGTAAAAAATGAGATATTATATTCTGCAAAAGTTATAGCACGAATACCTGGGAATGAAAGCAAACGACTTTGCAAACGACATAAAACAGGATGCTTGTCATTGAAACCTTAGCCTGCGTAGCTGCTACTTTTGTTGGACAGCGCACGGGTGCGCTTTTTTCCTAAACCCTCTTTCGGTTTCGCCGCTCGTTCGCGCACTCATTCTCCAACAAAACCCGCCAGCTAATTCGCTATTTGCCCAACTTCCATGGTACACCCTGTTTGCCCCCTCCATTCCCCGCCAAATTTTTTTTTTTTCATAAGCATTATCCTCAATTTCTCTTTAAAACCTTTGCAAAATGTTTGGGGTTCACAAGGTGCAATATGGAAGATGTGCATAAGGAGTGGGAACTTACTTTAAAAGCCTTTGCTCCCACGAATCTCTCTCATAGCTCAGTGGTAGAGGATCTGGACCAGTAACCAAGTTGTAGGTTCGACTCCTGTGGGAGAACTCAGACTTTTTCCAGTAACGTGATGTTACACGAGACCATGATTTTTAGCGCAACACAGCGTTGCAACATTGTTGCGACATTCGAATGGTTACAACATTTTTCCAACACTGCAACGCTGTGTTGCGCTAAAAATCGACGTTGCAAATCGTCCCGTGTCATTCATATGACACCATAAAAATAACTTTGCATTGTGGGCTCTAGAAATTTTTAGGCATCACACGCAGTAAAGGTCTTTGAAATGCTGTACTTGCGTAAAATATAAATGTTAAACCCGCAGTGAAATAGTATTTTGCTTAACGAGGTGATGTGTTAACAAAATGCAGCTCGCTGATAGCAGAATTGATACGCGGTCGTCCGATTTTGTTTAACCACTCGAATGATTGATGCTGAATCCGGGGCTAGTGATAGCCAATAATATAAGAGAATTTTGTTATACTTATGATTAAGAAATTTATTGAAATATACCGTTTTAGGCCAGAACTGAAAGAAATCTTTATAAAAACTGAATAAGGTGCACGCGGAGAATGAATTGTACTGGAGAATGTTGGCAATTATGATCGCAATGATAAGGAAAATGTCCCTTGAATTCTCCTGAAGGGAAATGTCTAAGTAGCCCGAGGCCACTCGCTCTCATGCTAATCGCTGATGTCCAGTAGGGACTCCGCGTGCCGGCATTTTGAAAGTAGAGAAGGAGCTAGTTGGCATGACGGTGATTTCCGGGGGAGAGGTGTACACTGTATGGCTTAGACTTGTCATCTTTCAAGTCGTAATCTTCCAACAGGAGGCTCTACATCTGGATAACCTGAAGACAACAATAAAAACAGCAGAAACAACAAGGTATAAATTGTGCAAGGATGGTGACCATGAATAATAAATAGCTTTAACAGCGATTTTCGTTGAGTGTGGAAAGTGAGTTTGAAATAACTCACGCCAGTTCACTATCTGGACCAATCAGGAGTAAGCCTATAACCACACGTGACTGGCTCCCACCTGTTTTCCCGCGTTTCGTGCCGACTACAAGAATTTGAATTTATTTCAAGATCTTATTGGTCATTTGGAGCTACCGCTCTTAGCTTTGGTTTGTTTTGTGTGAATGTACTGCATATTAACATTATTATGACATTATTATGACATAACATTAGTTACTGATATTAACCAATGTCTACCAATAGGGCGTTTTCACATGACGTCACGGCGGCCATATTGGCCTTCCAAAACAATGAAACGGCCGCCATGTTGGTGTACCAAGTCGATGCTGTGGGAATTGAATTAGTTTCTTATGCGAACGCTTTCTTTTGTTCCAATAAATAGATACTGCATAGATACTGGCCACGTGAGTAAAAACGCTTTATACTGACAAGTGATACAACAAAAGGGCTTGTATACCTAAAAGCAAAATCCTAACAGCTTGTCTTTGCTCATCAGAGTGTTGAGGACATCTATGAGACCTGTTAAATAAAACATTAATTACTTTATCAGTTATACGAAAACTGGAACGTTCTCCTTGAGAGCATTTTTGTCGTTTTAGCTACAATCGGCAACAAAATTAGCTGAGGCACTTTGCCCTTGAATAAGGGCCTCTCTGTTGTTTGCCAACTTAAAAAGAGGAAATAGAGCTTTCCCGCACCTACCCCCTCCACCAATGCTGTCCCACTGTTCGAGTTACCTATAGAAAATAACAAACACCCGAACTTTTAATGGAGGAAACAGGGGATGGGTGTGGATAGTTACCATATTTGAGCAAAATGCCTCAACAATTTTGTCGCTGATTGTAGGTTAAACATTACATGATGGAAACCTTTTGTTTAATTAACTCTCCAGGGGAAAAGTATTCTCTGGCGACACATTTATCAGCGGTTTTACACATACCAAGATCAGAGCAGTTACATGCAAGTTTGTTTCACGCAGGACTAGCTGCGTGTAGGAAGTTTTAAGCGGGAAATTACATAGCCGCTCCTCTGATTGGTTGTTTAATCCAGAGACCCGAGAAAAAACACGTCAGTAGCAATATCCGGCGTCAAGCTGTCAATGTCTGCTTCTTTTGAAAGTTTTAACGCGTCCACTGTTATGCGAGTACGTTTATCTTGGAAAAGAGCACTCACATATTCCTGAGGTAAAAAGACTTATTCCACGGCAAAAATGCTTCTTAGTGTAACCGTAACTTGTGTTATTATCGTCTACCTTGTACACATCCGTGCTGTATGCTCAGATACCACACCGCATGTCTGAACACACAAAAAAACAAAAATTAAAGAGGCTCTTCAGTTCCTCGTTACACAACTTGGTCAGATCATCTGTACAATTGTTATATTTATTTGTCAGATGGAAAAAAGCCGTCATTCAGAGTTTCTGTTTGTTTCTGACGAAACAACTTTAAAACAATACAGAGCATAAGGTACCTGATTTTGGATTGTGAAAAATAGGAACATAAAATTTTCAAACGCGTACATTCTTTTAGCTCCAACGTTACTGAGAGAGGCTTTTAAAATGTGCAAAACAAAGAAGTTAAGCCGGGTGACGACTATGGGAAAATCCGAGACTCACCGCAATGCAGAGACCGGAGTATAAAGACTTTTGCACTTTTAAATTAATGACAAGCAAAGAATGATTATCTATTTCATTATAGTGGAGCTCTCAATAGTGCCAAAAGCGTGCTCAGAGGAGCGCTATGGGTAGTGCTTAGCAAGAACATACTTTTTGATTGGGGACACTGTTTTTAGTCTCCTACTGGAGACAGGAACGCCGTTTTACTTGGTCATCCAAGCCACCCGAAGGTCTCACATTCAAAATCTCTGAAAAAAGCACATTCAAAAAGACACTTACCTGAATCCACACACATGCCAGGATCAATCCTTAAGACCTGGGCTTTTCATCGTCGAGGCTTGTACGCTGAAACACTGCCCTTTGGGGACACTTGGTTTGATGGTGGCCAAATTTCCTGCAAGCAAAACAAGGACCCAAGGATGATTGCAGCAGACCTCTGTTGGAGGTGAGGGATAGGGTAAGCAGCTGAAAGTGAAACTTGATTTGATAGGAGGAGATTTATTTTTCCTTTTTTCCTCATCCTTCAACCCTGAGTATTTGTCCAGCATGGGAATAGAGCCTGGGACCTTCTGCTCTGCACTCAGGCGCTTTACCAACAGAGCTTATCTTAATGGGGTAGAAACGGTTGGTAAGAGACCATCATCATCATCATCATCATAAGCAGCATCATGATCAACGTTTGCAGGGCAACAGGAATTACCTTCAACCCTGAGTATTGGTTCAGCATGGGAATAGAGCCTGGGACCTTCTGCTCTGCAGTCAAGTGCTTTACCAACAGAGCTTATCCTGCCACCATCATCATTACAAGCAGCATCATGATCAACGTTTGCAGGGCAACAGGCAGTACTTTCACCCTTGAGTATTGGTCTGGCATGGGAATAGAACCCATGACATCCTGCTATACAGTCAAGCACTCCACCGACTGAGCTACCCTACCGCAGTTAAAAGAAGTAACTTTACTAGAAAGGTCTTGCTTGTAGTGTGCCCTAACCAGTGTTTTAAAACTTGTCTAACATGATTGTTCGTGAAACTTTCTCTTACATCTTCAGGTTTTGAGACGATGGCCCTCCAGATATGACAAGTTCCATCTCCTGATCCTAAAAAGGGAAAATTGAGAGTATATGTATTTATCACACAAAATGGAAAAGCCTCAAAGCTAAATCGTTATGTTCAAGTGATTCTAGTTAAGTATTGCAGGCATAATAAACAACACTGTCTGCCAAATATATTTTGTGTAGACTGCCTTGTATTATTTTAACTTTTCATTTTAGAGTTTGCAATTTAGTGATTCATGAGGAAACTCCGACATTTTAGAAACAAGAAACTACAGGATGCTGGCAAAAACCAGCTGTTGGTTTGTGTCCAAATGGCATGAAACTTTCTACTTGAGAGTAACTGTGATATCTTGAGATAACAGGTTAGTGCCTTGATAATTGTAGGATACCAGGATAGTGCACAAGGCTTCTAGTTACAAACAGTTTACAATGTATATGTTGTAGTTAATTTTTTCTCAGGTAATTTTTCTTTTGTTTTTGAGTATGGTAATATCTGCCGATAAAGTTGAAAAAAAAAAAAAAGAAAAATTACCTGAGATAAAAAATTAACTACAACATATTCAAAGTTTGGGTAGAGTAAATAATATCACTGCATTTAAGTGAACAGAAAAATATCATGAAAATAATTAGATGCAGCCAGCCATTGCTGATGAAAAATTATACGAGGACCTAAGTCTTTTTTGGCCTCTAAATTTCTCTAATTTTACATAAAAAACTTAACTGTTCATCCTTATTTTCAAGTATTAAAACCAGAATTTTAGATAAAAAGACAACAACAACAACATCAATTTCCCAAGAAACCATAATAAAGCCCCTTAAATTGGAATAAAAACGGTTAGTCTTGTCAAGATTGCCATAACGAAAGGCTTAAAAGCAGTTTTGGTAGTGAGTAATCATAATAATCACTTTGTTAAACCCTTTTGGTAGTGTATAACACTAAATTACAAGGGAGGTCAAGAATACGCAGAACACATAATTACACATGGCACAGAAGGCAAAAACAATTAAATCCTATTGTAACTGTGGGTAACAAAATTACTAAGGCGGTGCGTTCTGACAAAGCGGAATTCAGAACGAGAAAGACCCGACCTCAACCCGTACCCATGAGTGACATTCGTGGGCTGCGGCAGCAGGTGTGAAAGGAACCCGGACTCCTTGATGTTAGATATAAAACGCCTGCAAGCCTCATCACGGCGCAACAAAAGTGTAGGCGAGCCACAGCGCACGAGTGCCGACTCATAAGAGTAATCTCGCTTTCCACCAATTGAACCAGACAGTTGGGGAGTGTGAGTTTATAATAGGTAAAGAAGCTTTCATTTAATACCTGTACAAACTATAGAATCTGTTGGGTGAAACCTGATGGAGTTGACTGAAAAAAAAAGGTGACAAAAGGATTACAAAGAATAAAACTGGAAAGAGATACACAAAGACAGATACGGTGTGTAAGAGAAAATGGCTTCAAGCTTTTGCTACAACAATGAAGCCTTCTTTATGGTGGGCAGTTTGTACATCCCTGGTCTGAATTTCAAATATGCTGTGGTTTCGTATATTCAGAGGAGTAGACCCTGCCCCTGTTGGCATTTACTGTAAGCCATCTTTAATACAGTATGTGGTTTTTCGCCATTTAATCTGGTCCTTTCTCCGTTTCAAGGCCATGTCACTCGTCAGAATTCTAATCCAACTTAGTCGTTCCAATTTTTTTATCTGTTATTGTTTTTTGTGTTGCTTTTTTCTTTTCGTCAGGGCCCCATTCAAACCAGCCTCGCTGAACTGAGCACCCCTGATTAAATATTGTCCAAAATTAAAAAAATAATAAAAATACAGGACAGGACAGCAGAAACGGCAACAAATGACATGTAAATATGGGTTGAAAATGTGAGAGCTACAGAGAAAAGTGCAAATGCAGTGGTATAATACTGACAGTGACATGGTTTTGCAATCCAGAGGGCCTTATCATTGAGCCAAAAGCTTGCACCCATTGTTTACAAAGTGAGGAACTGGGCTTGGTTACTAGAAAGATGGTTACGTTTAACCCAGGATTAAGCCAATTTCCAAGCAATGTTTTCTCGTGTAAAAACATGCAACTCGAGGTTACAAAATACTGTTGAGCATTACTATGAGATACAGTAATGATAACACAAAATGTATAGGAATGTAGAATACAAAAACGGAACAAAATTACAATCCAGGATTAACGCTAATCAGCCTTTCAGGAACCAGGCCCTGATGTCTTAGATTCTCTTGTTGTCCAAGAGCCACTTTGTCCACTAACCTGATCCACTGTGACCCAAGTACTTCAAAAGACACTGCCCAGTTTCCACATCCCAGAGTCTGGCTGAACGATCTACAAGTGAAAACACATGTACTTACATTAATTTTACACCTTATTATTTTATTTGACACCCAACTGGAAGGGATTAGTTCAGTAAAATCAAATTAATAACAATTACATGTATAATAAGTTAAATTAGTTACATATGCCACTGATATTAATATATAAAGGAAAAAATGTGAGCCCCAGATGGGATTCGAACCCATTCTGGAGCTCAGATTTTTTCTGTGTCCTCTTATGGTTGATTCTTTACATCTCCCTTTATTTCCTTTATAAATTAATATCAGTGGCATAGGTTGGTTGGTTGGAGGCTCCTTAGTGAGACATTTCTTACTATTAATGTGATTGTGTGATACAGTTAAGCCTTATGTGTTGCCTGTAATGGACTGTGTGAATGCGAGATGCGGTACGCAAGTCCAACCCACAAAAATGACCCTTGCTCGCCAACGAGTCCTCAGTAGCAAAGAGGTTAGAGCATCCGATCTAGAACACGGAGGGTCGTGGGTTTGAATCCCATCTGGGGCTCAGATTTTTTCTGTGTCCTCTTATGGTTGATTCTAATTACATCTCCCTTTATTTCCTTTATAAATTAGTTACAGTAATTATAACTAATTATGATCAGTAATTTATACCATTTACTACATTGTATTATGGCATCTTTGTCTTTCTCCAACTCCTACTTATTTATATATTTCATAATTTATTATGCAACTATTCTGATGAAAGTATACAGTATTTCATAACACATGCACTGTTTACACTCTTAGTACAGTGTATGGAGTTCACTCTCTCTTACTATGACATAACATTCTGCACAACTTGGTGTAATAAGGTGGCCAGTACGAAAACTTACGTCATTTGATGCTTTTATTTCTCACAGACACAATGTTCTAGTCATTCAAACGACAACATTGACCTTGAATCTAGTAAGTCTTACTGAGTTGACTACCTAAGCATATCGACTTTTCTTTTTTTTTATGCTCCTTTGCACTTGTTTACTAAGTTTTGAACCGGTCTTTATAAAAATTACTGGAAAAAAGGTGAGGAACTTGGTACACAAATAAATGTTTTGGCCTATAAAAGAGCAGAGCGACAAAAATAACCTCTCACATTTTTCTACTCCACAAAAATTGTTACATTGTACAGAGAATTTTCACTCTTGAAGCCAGCAACCATAATTAGCAGCAACTATGCAAATTTATTGAAACAAAAGAAAGTCTTTACACAAAGTTATTACAACAAAAAGGTTCAACTCTGACAGGACTAAGTTGGAACACCAAAATGCACAGCCACCATTTCAATGTTTCGGGACACCAATAGATTCAGGCAATTCTGGCCAGAAAAGAAATTCAGCACAAGACAGTTACATGCTCTCAGCCCTTCTTATTATGGCAGATGTGACATCATATGAGAACACTCTATATTCTTAATGGGTTCAATATGAACCTACCAGCAGATGCTGTTCCAATCATGGTTGGTGTATGTCTTGCACATGTCACCTCCCACACTCCATCTCGATGTCCTGCAAAGCTTCTTGTTCTATGACACTCAACACTCATGGTTGCTTGGTTGGGATTCTTGAAACTTGAAACAATCTAGAAAAGTGTCACAAAACATTTAACTGTTTTCCTTATCATAATCATAATCAGGTAATTATTATTTTTCAGAACCAAGTGGTATCAAAACGTCAGTAATCTTCTGTGAGATTTATGTCCAGTAATATGAGGGAACTTACTGTACACAGCCAGAATGTTGACAGAAACAAAAAATAATGCTAACAAATGTTTTAATAAACAAAACAGCCTCTCTGTACATGCACACTCATCCTTTCTGGTACATTTCTTGGCCATCACCCATGACTACAAATTTCATGTTTTATGGAGGGCATTAACACACAAAACAACAATATTATTATTTTTTATTATCTTTTGGAACTTGTCTCAGATGCTATCCATAACAATTCAACTCCAGGAACATTTGCCTACATCTAACAAATGGCATAATCATGATGAAATTTGAAGCAATGCAATTTCAGTTACGAGGTTATGTTTTGCTGCTGTTGCCATCATGGTTGCATAAGCTCCACATTCACTTCAGTGAAACAAAGAGTCAACTATGGAGTGAAAATTCAAGTGCTGGAAATAACCCATAAAATTATCCTGGCATGGAGCATAAGTGAAGGGAATTAGGGAACCTACATGAGCCACATCAGAAGGAATCAAATCCTTAACTAATCCTGATCTGATTAGAACAATCGTAATAAAATATTGTAAATCTAATTTTGTAATTTGTTTACCCATGGAGCACTGAGGGGTTCATGAGAACTCGTTGAAACACGTCTGTGTGTTCCAGTTCAATTTGGAATTTGGAAGTGTTGGTTTTTAAGGAGAGGGGAAAACCGCAGTACCCGGAAAAAACCTCTCGGAGCAAGGGAGAGAACCAACAACAAACTCAACCCACATCTGGGGTCGACGCCAGGATTCGCACCTGGGCCACATTGGTGGGAGGCGAGTGCTCTCACCACTACGACACCCTTGCTCCCGTGCCAACTGAACTACAAAGCCAAATGGGAGCAAGTCATGGGTGATAAAGTTGATCTTTCTAAAGGGGCCACTGATGGCCTTGGAAGCCTGACCCAAAGCTTTGCAGTCCAGTAGCAGAGGGTCTTCAAAAAAGGGAAAAAGGGAACCATGCATGGCAAAGAAAGTAATGTTGAAGTTTGCAACATGTACCAAGGTCAAACAGTCATTGTATTCTTTGGCTCAGTTGATTCTCCAATTCTCTTTGCTACGGCTTATGCTCAGAGCACTATCTGTTCCCTCATTTGTATCACAGTGCTACACAGCACAACATTAGTTTCCCCTGGCAGTTGCAGTAGACCTATGAGGTAATTAATAACCAGGTGTGGAATATGTGTATTGGATGGGGCATCACTGGCCCCTAACAAGGATAATTATTATAAGCTTAACAAGCAGAGGAGCTGAGTTCCCATTAGCTGTCTGTAGCGGTGCATGACCCACTGGCGGATGGGCATGGGTGGGCTTCAGCAATGCCATCAGGCTAGGTGTAATAAAGAGTTAAAAAGACAGGCCTGTTAGCTCGATGAGGGCTATTTTATGTGTAACAAGATACATGTACATGTAAAACATCTGTATGCAGAGATTGCACATATTTGACATTAAAATGTATCCAACTGAGTAATTCATGCAATTATATAATTTTATTACCTTACTAGTAGAAGCTTTGTAAGTTGTTTTTATTTTCTGGGACATCAACTGGCTTGCAGCTGCAACACATAAATTATAACAAACTACAATAAGTTCATAGAGTAACAGATAAAAATGCCTGGCAATCCCTCTTTTCAAAGCAGCAGACAAGTGTACCAATCCTAAGGTTATATGAGTATTATGGGTTGTGTACAATAATGTGTATCCCAGTGGCCTGGGATAAACATTAAAAGAATGACAGAGAAGGAAAGACTATGAGAAAATTTGCTAGAAAGCCAATTTTGGAATGACTGATATGAAAGACCAGGATTTTATGGGTTTTGGATTGCTCAGTGCAAAAAGACCACCACCTTACAGTGGCGGAGTGGTTTGTGTGTCTCAATGACCCATAGAGCTATGTCACCTGGAGTCTTTGACTCCTGCTAGGGCCACCCATGCCAAACAGGTTGAAGAATAGAGACCACACTAAGTGTGGTCCCCTGGTCCTCCAGGTTGGGGGTTTGGCTGAGGTCTGATAACCCTCTCCCAGAAAACCCTGTTATTACAGAAACCAGAAGGAGAGAAAATTCACTTTAACAAGGCTAACCAAGAAAAGTGGAGGGACTCTGTGCCATGAGGTGCGAAGAGGACAGGTGAGGTGAGGAGTGCCTGTAAAAGGTTAGTATGGAAAAAATTGCTTGATCACAAGGGACATGCTCCGGCAGGTTTTTCAATATACTGCTGCATATGGCAATTTCTTTATTACCTAATTATCTCTAATTTTACCATGACTTTAATTTAGCAAATTTGGAAGAGAAATATTTTGTGGGACTTAAATTTCACGATTATGACGAAAAAATAAAGGTAATTAAAGTTCTTGAAACAAGTACAGTGTACACTGGTGCTCGTGTTTTAAAATGCCATTAATTTTCTGCATTTTATTCAACCATAATGGAATAGAAATGTAACAAGCAACTGGCTGAATTATTCAACAAATCGGCAAAATAACATCTTTTAAAACTTCAGCGATGCGTCAGATGATGAGGAACAAGGACATGCGCTGAACTGAAATTTGAGCCCTCCTCCCCATGTATGCTCCTAGCAGATGGAAAACTTTAATTAAGGTTTTTATATCTAAATTTTGTGTCTTTAATTTTCGCAACACCTTTTTTTCGCAGGAATTTAATTTCATGAATTTTTTTAAATTACAGAAATCGTGGAAAATAAGTCTCACAAAAATAAGTGATGATAAGGTACATGTTTTCAAACAACCATAAAGACTACTAGCATATAAGACCAAAGGAAAAACGGTGGATATATGGAAAGTGAAGTGCACATTTACACAGGAAAACCTAAAGTACCAATGTGTTTAGATGAAACCAATGACTTGCTCCAATGTCCATTATGGTTTGCACACTAAGTCTTGTACTATTAATCATGTTTATGTCAGCTTTCCAAATCAATTTGCCCAAAAACAGAAGTTGAATCTCTAGATAAGCCACTTTTTTAACCAAAAACTGAAAAAGTGCTTGGAATAATAGCCTTATTTTGTTACATGTTAACATTAACTCTTCAACTAAGCCATGTACGTGTTCTCTGTGACACACAATAGGCAAACTGACAGTAATTTTATACAATGCAGTAGCTTACACTGCTTTTTACTATATCCAGTTTTTGAAGAACCTCCCTCAGCAAATAATTCACCATCTCCAAACTTTTCTCCTCCACTCAGGACAAGATCCAACTTTTCATTCAATGCTTCAACTCTCTCTTGTACTGTTAACAGACATAAACACACACAAGTTAGATAATCTACATTTGATTTCAGGTTAATTTTGATTTAACCTAGGTTAATTTTCACTTTCCTTTGTCTCCTAGCCCTATTATTATTCATGAATAAGGGCTAAGAAACAAAGCAAATTGAGAATCAACCTACCATACGTTAAATCAAAATTAACCTGAAATCACAGTTGACAGTCTGTAACATACATGATGATATGCTGGTGAAATGAGCGCAAAAATAATACCTCCCTTCTGTACACTCGGTCAGTAAAACAAGAAGGCCTTGGAAGTTAGGCATTAATTTATTTTATCCTATATATAAGTCTCTTAGCTCAATAGCAAATAGACCAATTCCAATATATTAACATTCATACTTGGCTGCATCAGGCTTGGGGGAATAAAACAAAAGAAATCATCTTGAGGCTCAATAATGAATTCTTTTGTTTTATTCCCCCAAGCCTTGGAGCCAAGTATGAATTTTAATATATCGAAAATGGAGTATTCAGCCATTCACTATTTGTCAGCTCCCACAATTCTGTACCTTGTTTGTCCCTCAAAGTTTTGCGTGACCTTTGTTTTTAATTTCTTCTGGGTATTACAGTCATTCCAGGAGAAAAGAAAAGACATTCACAAGGGTTATGCAAAAATTTAAAATTTTGTGGGGGCAAACAAGGTACATTATGCGAGATGTGAAAATCGCAAAGGACCTTTCAAATATATTCATAAACTTTTTGAAATAAGCTGATCAGAAAACAACAAACATAACAAGGTAAAACTAAGTATTGTGGGTATTTTGTATATTTTTTAATTTCATGAGATCCTTTTTAGAAACCATTTTTAGTATGAAAAGTTAGTTATCTCAATAAAGATTATTATTATTTTTATTATTATTAAACCAAGATTTACCTTTTAAGGAAAATAAAAAGTTAACTACACTGTTGAATCCAACTCTTTTCAAACCCTTTGTATTTGAAATTACCACTAATTTGGACCACATTTAACTTTCATTTACCATTCACAACTGTGATTTTACCCCTGAATTTTTCAAACCTCTTGGTATTTAAAACCAATTTGCTCTTTTAACTTGATTCAAAAGATCAGGATTAATTCCACCAAAACACTTAAATGTACTTTTTAACATCATGCAATTCTTAGCAAATAAAGAGATGTTGAATCCAAGTGCTTGCCAATTAGTAACATAAAATTGGCCACAGGAAAGCAGTCTCCAGAGACTTGTTAAACAATGTTATGGCTACCATATTGTGACATACAAAGGCAATTTACGTCATCAGTTTAGGACAACAAATCAACAAGCAGTTGTCTTATTACACAACAACTTTTCAAGATAAAAATAGCCAGGTCTCGATGTTTACAAGAAAGGAATATAAACTTTAAAAAGCTATATTCACTAAACTATCAGCTAAATTTTAGCATGAATTGACTAGAAATGTTAAAAAGACTCACATACAAGTAAGCTTTATACTTTACCAATATGCATTTGAATATACTGTGTGTGGGTAAGTCAAATTATTTACGGGTTACTAATTAAGTTAACCTGATAGGCAACATCAAGAATGAAGTATTCTCCGGTAACTTCAAAATAGTTCGCAGTGACAAAAAAATAAACGTTCGTGCAAACAACAGTCAGAAATCCGAATTGAACTTTTACAGCCGTGTTTGCTACCACCACAAAGAGAATTGCCGGCAGTAAAAGTAAGTAACACAGTATGGAAAAACATGAATTACTTACAAGCAAGGTTTTCAGCATGCATACATTCAAATTCTCTTTCTATCTGAACAAACAGCGACCACAATCGAGAGCGAACATCTGAAGGCAGAGAGCTCTCGCGATCCTGTTCATATCCATCATGTCGCATTCTTTCTGAGCCCATTCTGTTCGGCGAGCGAGTTCGTCTAATCGAAAGCCGTTTAGGCTTAATCTTGATGCTGCCCGCTTGTTGCTTACTCATCTCTTGGGAACAGGTTGATAAATCTACAATACAAATTTATTCCTTCAGAAAGAAAGGAAGAGTACTAAATTCCAATCAGGTTTATCAAAGTGTGCCGCTGACCAGGCAGAGTGAATCAAGTCTCTGGTCACCTGCCCCCGGCGGGGGCACTTGGGTATTTTATGGATGGGTACGGCTGCCCGGGACTCCAAATTAGCACCCCGTTCTGAAAACAATTTCCCCTAAAATTGATACCCCGTTCTAGAAATGGGCCGATTTTTTTATACCCCGTTCTAGAATTCGCCCTAAAACTGATACCCCGTTCTAGAAATGGGCCAATTTTTTATACTTCGTTCTAGAAAGTTTGTAAATTGAAATAGCCCTGTTTTTTAAAGAGATATTTCTTTATTTGTTCGACTTACATCAAATAGATGCTTCTTCATAATCAGCAACAATTTTAGGCAGAAGATCCCCTGATCCACAATTTTTTATACCCCGTTCTAGTATACGCCTCTGAAATGGATACCCCGTTCTAAATCAGGAGCTTCAAAATCGCGACCACGTTGGGCGGCACATACCTGTATAGGTAATGTATGGGAGTACCCCCGCCCGGGAACCTGCTTACCATTCGGCGTTCTGCATTTGGCTTTCCACATTCAGCGTTCTTCAAAAAGACACTAATAAATAAATATTTCTTGAAGCTTCAAATCAGCAAACAGAATCATTCAGCAATGTGATTGGGCGATCCATGCCACGTGGTCTCAAAAAGGAATTTAGATTCTGGATTCCAATCATTAGCGGGATTTCGGATTCCTAAAGCTGATATGAGCTGTATTTGGATTCCAAAGCCCAGGATTCCGGATTCCGAAAATTTTCCATGATTTCAAAATTCGGATTCCCCAACGCATGATTTCAGACCAAAATTGCAAGAGACAACTACAATAGTACCACTATAATATTACGGCCATTTTGAATTCCCATAAATCAATTTGTAATTTCCATTCCTAAACATAGCTTTTGCAATACTGTATGTATTTGTATGGTCATTCAAATAAAGCTCGTTGTTGTTGTTGTTGTTGTTGACCAAGAGATCAAAGTACCAAGATTTATTGATGAACTAAGTAGCAGGATCAGGGATCGTGTAAAATGGAGTCGAAAACGTTTTCAGGGACGTAGAGAGCTTTTTGACTAGCTGTAGGCCTTGCTGACTTTCATTTTCTACATATCCTGAAAATTGCACGCATGACTAGTATGCAGTGACCTCATCAACACCTTTTTTTTTTAGCTCACCCCATCAACGCATAATTTATTACAAGCGGTAGAGTGATCAAAGCAATAATGTGCAGGTTCGGACCCACAAGTTTATGGGCTGGCTACGCCCCTGGCTTTTACGTCTTTCTCCTGTCTTCCGTTGCCTGTTGCAACTGATTGCAAAGGTAGACATAAATTGAAACTTGAAAAAGTTTGGCCAACGTTTATTAATAATGGTGAAATTTTCTTGTTATCTTCATCATACGCAAGTTGATACAATGACTCTATAGCTACAGGAGCCATTAACTTATGACCAGCACAGAAATGACCTAAAACAGCAATATCAGAATATCAGTCTAAAAAGTTTGACTAATAGTCCGTCGCGGGTCGCGAATGTATGTCGCGGGTGTGGGTCGCGAATTTCCCCACCCGCTACCCGCGACCCGCAACCCGCGACCCCCGTCCATTAGTCAAACTGTCCTCTTGACATAGCTTTAAATTTGAAATGTACAATGGGTCGTAGAAAGGTCTAGAAACCACTATAATTATTACAATGACGTAACTTGAAAAGTCAGCGGAAGTGTTAAGCTGGCTTTTTTAATTTCTTTGTGTGTATTGCAATTTGCATTACAGTCCAGGATTGTAAACAAGCTGTCAATTGGTTTAAAACGATACCAGACGCTGTGCACATACAAATATTATGTTTCTGCAGAAGGCGCCTGTAGGAGCTCAGATAGCTCAGCTTAAAAGCAAACTTTTGCTGCTGTTATTGTCAAAAAAGCGCAACTATTTTATGTTTCAAATCAAATTTGGGTAAACTGAACTTTCTTTACCTTAAACAATTTGTGGCTTCCAAACATGTGTCGCTGGGGCTGCTCTGAAAAAAGTAAGGTGTGTCAGGTTGTTATGCCTTTGAATGATTGAGAACCAAATGTGTGTGAAAGCATTTTAAATGAAAAGGTTTCATCAGAATGGTCACGACCGGCCGATTATTACGTGCACAAGTTAGTCGTCCACAAGTTAGTATATAGACGCACAGATCAAGCCTACAGGTACCTAAAAAACAAACTCTTGCTAGAAATCAAGAAACGTGGTATACAGCAACTCATCTTAGCGAGATTCGCTTTAAACTGGCTTACATCTGATTACTTCGATTCAAATTTACAGACATTCAAGTGCAGGGTCTGTGGAACTAAGTATTGTGAAGCATGCGGCAGAGGAGATTTTCATGGTGTAATGACGGATAAAACAGTTTGTCAAGTTTGTTTTCAGGTATTACGGAATTGAACTGGCCTTTTTAGCGTCAAGGAGATCACGTTTATGGATGCAGTAATGAGTATATTTCAATCGGGCTCACTAAACAAAAACACAAAGGACAAACTCTCCTTTCTAACATGGCAAAAATTTAACCCTTTAAGCCCTAAGAGTGATCAGCATCAAATTTCTCCTTGCAATATCACTACTTTGTAAAACAGAGTGTTCATAAGAACTTACGGAAATGATCACACGAGATGAATCAGTGGCTTCATATTTTATCAATTTCTCCCCCTACTTCTGTAGGAAATCAACAGGGGCAACCAATGAAAATTCAAATTTTGATCCTAAGGTTTAAGGGGTTAAAAAATTGGCTTCGTCAAGAGAGGATAAGGACACCCAAATTTCTGAAAGCTGCGCCCTTTGTGAAACTTGAAAGGTATTACACCCGGACAGTTTACGGAAGAGAACAAAGAAAAGTGTTAGCTCAATTCACTAAATGACAGATCGTTTACAAAGCAGGCTCGTTTCAATTCATTAGAAGAGAAATGTCGCAATCCCTGAATCACCTTGTGTCACTAGTCTCCGAATAGATCTTTTGAGTAGAATTAGTTCTTATTGTTTTTGTTTAATCCTTTAATTAGCCCAAGATCATACTTCGTAAGCTTTTATGTAAATTGGTTTGTTCCGAAGGAAACTGCTGTGCTCCATCAAGAAGATGAACCCGGGGACCTCCCTATAAAATTGACCGGCTTGGGGGTAACAGCCGCAGAGTTTGGTCCGCACTTGTGCATGGTTTTCAGGGGGGAAAGACAAGATTTTTTCCAATGAAAGTCTCGTTAATAGTAGTGTCCCACGCAGACCTCTTTAAGGGTTCGTCACAAGTTACTGCCCCACATTGGGGAGGACTGCGTGACAAGCCAAAAGAAGAACTGAAAGGGAGGCTACTTTAAAAGGGGTGTCGAGTAAAGGTGTGTCTTATTACTTTATGTTGTTTTTTACTTAATGTCATCATTACGAATTTCAGCTTAAATGCCAAGGAGAGAGAATTGGGCAAGACCCAGGAAAATCAGCTCAGAACAAAAGAACAGTCAACAAGAAAACAGTCAAAGCTGAAAATTCACAAAAACAATCACGAGACACGAGAAAGAGATAAATATCAACACTCTAGTTAAAAAAAATCCGCAGATTGTTTAAAACAGGTTTTTTTTCTTAATGCAGAGGAAAATGTGAGCCGAAAACGCCGAAGCTTATCGGAAGCTAGAGAATTGTAATATCGTTTTCAGATTTCAACCCATGTCAACAGAATGTAACGCTTGGCTTTGTTGGTCAGGCGCTCAAACAAGCCAAGGTGGGCGAGGCAGTGCGAGGAGCTTGGGCGGAAGAAACTAGAAACCGTCCTAGCCTGGGGTGTCAAAGAGCCATTGCTCATCTCTTTGCCACGTTAGTGCGCCTGAACGAGTTAAATAGCTTTGAGTTCATGAATTTCTTTCTCCAAGTTAGCCATAGTGCTGAAAGTGACTGATGAAATACTGGTAGAATGCCAAAAAATGCATTATATCTGGCTCGTTTCATGCGTTTTAAGATTAAGTCTCTACTCGCATTCTTAACTAGGCCAAGAAAGAACAATATATTGAAAGTGACTCGACTAAGTTTTAACCAATTTTAATCGATTAGAGCTCACTTTCAGTAACAATGGATGTTAGATACGTGATTTTTGCCTTGAATTAAAATAGCGTCCTTATTGACTGGAATCACTCTCCTCTTTAACACTGACCCGAACTTATGAATGGCTAATTGACGGATTTACTAGACTTATTTTGACACTTATTTAATGTATAAATTGAAAAACTATGTGACACCTTTACTAGGTAATTTTAAAAAATTCTCACTAACTAGGTAGAGGGACGTGACTCTTAAACCTAACTACATTTACTATAACCTTTATAGCTTGATGTACCTAAATAGAGGCATTGGTCTATAAAATATATATATACTTAGGATGGTAAGAAAAATAAGCTGGTAAATTAAGACTAACATAAGGATACTTACATTGTATACAGTCAAACCTCTCTAAGACGGACACCTTTGGGACCGGCACCAAGTGTCCGTCTTAGAGAAGTGTCCGTCTTAGAGAGGTGTCCGTCTTATAGAGAGTCAAATAAAGGGAGTAAAGAAAAGCAGTGACCAACTCTAGGTGTCCGTTTTACGGAGGTGTCCGTCTTATAGAGGTGTCCGTTAGGAGAGAGGCGACTGCAATAAGGAATTGGTTTTCCCCCGCGACGGGGCGAGATGGGAGGCTGTTGTATTAACACACACAATACCCTTAAGAATTGATTCCATTAACTAAAATTCCAAAAAAAAGAATTACTCTACCGGCTGAAAATATTCACAGATTGATAAAGAGCATCTGAGACAGGAACGATCCGATTGGAAATGTGTTTTGACTCACGATGCTCTGTGGTTAGGAACATCTTGAGGTACAGGTGATTACTCATGAATAAAACTGACACTGAATTATTTCAGAGACTTCAGGCAAGTGATATCTCAAACAGAAGCTGTTCTTAACACCTAAATACTAATGAAAATGTCAGAAAAAACTCTGACTCGTCTACTTACAGACGGTAAGACTAAGTGTCTAAACACGCCGCAAACGGAGTAACAATCATCAGCAACAGTTATTCACTCGAAGACACAGAAACAAGCTGATTACAAGTACACGCATTTTGCTACGTCTTACACTACAACAGGTTCAAATGGTGGAGTACCGGTATTTACAGGGGACTGCAGTCAAGGTGCTGGCCCTAAAAAACAAGTTCTATTAAGAACACTACAGTAATTTATCTAACTAATTGGAGGGGCTGTATTAATTTTTTGAAACAGAAAATGTTTTGTTATGAATACTTAGTCTATTTATATGGCTATTTGTACCGTTATAATAACATTGACGGATTATAAAACTGTACATATGAATAATAGACATCTTGTTTCTTTGTTTCGCATCTTTGCGAATAAGTTGCCAAAATAAAGGTTCAGCCAGTTGTTCAACTCAAGTGTCTTCAATTTGATATCGCGAGTTAGCAACTCCTGAATCGCAGTATAATCAGACATCTTTACCTCCTATCTGTGGAATAAGGCTAACATAGTGAAGCTCGTGCACGTGACCCAGCACGAGCCGGTTGCTACCAGTAACATCAAACTCTGGGCAGATCATTACGTCATGGCGATGCGGAAGACTGCTGATCACGTCGATGCACGTTTGAAAACAGTATGCCGCCCCGTGTAGAATCACGTGATCACCCCATGTACCATCTGCCAACATGCTTATGAGGTAGGCATCCCAAGATGGATATCCATCAACAAAATGAAATAGTTCTGTCCCATCCGGCTGTAAGAAAAAAAGAAAATACTGTAGTTAATGGAGAAAGAGGTAGAGTGCTTTTGTAGAAGGTATATATTCAGGCAGCTGCGCAGTCAGCGCTCTCTAAGGTGGACCCCGCTGGTATCGGCACTAGAGCAGATATGTCCGCCTTAGTAGTGAACCAGAACCAGGCCAAAAGGTTGTCTGCAATGGACAATAAAATAGACTATGATTGCATACTACCCAAATAAGAACATGATCCCTGCACACTATATCCCTCGTAGAGCTCGTGACGTTATGGTTGATGAGATTCTACCGCATTTTATTCATGAGATAAAGATGCCATTGACATTTATTTGTTACACTTCATACTAAAGAGATTTTACTTCAAAAACGAGGTCTAACGTTTGCATCCCATACTACTCTCCTTACTCTCTTTCTCTCCACGAAAAACAATTAAGAACGACAGGGACCAACACTTTTAGGAAAGTACTTTGGGACGTTTTAGGGAGGTGTCCGTTACGCGTGTAAGAGAGAGGGGAAGAGGTGTTTACTATGAAAAAATTGAAGTTTTGAAATTTCGACTTGTAAACCAGTACGCTGGGTCAGAAATGACCCTACAAATATAACAAGTATTGAGGATCTCAAGTTTATCCGTTCATTCTATACTTGTCAAGTCTTACCTTCTTTAAATAAAGTATTCACTTCGCTTCACTTCACTAAGTAGACATATGCTGTTCGAACAAAGCGGCTTTTGGTGAACATTTCACACTTAGCAAAATAACGTGCTTATAAAAAATTAGGACATGAGTCAGACGATCGAGGAGACAGAAACAGATTTCCTAAAATCTGTTTTCATTTACGCCTCCGAGTCAAAAACGTGATTAAAGGAAATGAATTTGCTTTATTTCAAACCTTTAAAGCGCTTATGTAACGTTTTTCAAATTAAAAAAAGTAGAAGAAATTTCCTGGATTTGAATTCTAAGGACAGCATCCGGATCCAATAACAATATTTCGTCGCCATGCTTTCGAGGTCCTCCACAAAACGTCGCATTAGGAAGTTTCACGTCGTGCAGCGGAAGACGAAGCAAAATACAAATAGGCGTGATGCTCGTGCAGAGCTGATGTTTTGCTCCTAAAGGGTCGATTCATCAGCAGCATACCCGTAAAGCCGTAGCATTTGGCTGCAAGAATTCAAGGCCCCTTCCACCCGTATCAGGGTATTTTTAGCCTTCCGTCCACACGAAAACGGCCATTTCGGGCACCAAAAACACAGGTCCCCAGAAAGCGGTCCCCAGAGTGGACTTTTGAAAACGCCGACTTCTCGTTTACGTGTTGACGGAAGAAAACGGAGGTTTTCTAATACAATGATGTCATGCATTATATGCTAGTAGCACTCGTTTGCCCTGTAAGGGATGTTATCGTATTTCAATCACGTCATCGTTTTTATGTGGACGGGCGCAAAAAATTCAAATACGCTACGTGTGGACACGTATTTCGGATACGTCACAACAAGACCTTATTGCTTTTAACCTTCAAAACAATAAAAAAATTCAGCGAGCAAATGCGACGGCTTACGCATAGATTGCAACTAAATCCACCGTAGAAAAAATAATAAGGTACTCACCAGCCTGGGGTTTTCCCGAAGGTG